TCCCTCGTCATACTAAAATGGAGACCTTTACTTCTTTACATACAAAACGAAATGACATGCAAATGTAGCAGTCCTGCTCAAACTGGTGGCAGGAGCGAGAGGTGACTTTGTATCACCTGGACAGGCCATGTTTAGTTGATTAATTACTTTGCTCCAGTTTTATATTTAGGTAAGCGTGACACAGACCTTTTGGCACAAACACTGTACTCTAACTATGCACGAGGGATATGTCTCCTTACTAGATATGCTAATTCCCGCTATGTTTAGCTAATGAGAGGACAGGAGAAAGAACCTCACCAGGCTTTGAGAGACAGAAGCCGTTGACTGACTCGCTAAGAGGTTGTACACTCCTACTTTCTTAGGTTTACTGCCATCTTGGAAAAAACGTCTTTAACGTCTTTATTTGAACATCTTCTTTAATTATTTTAGGGGCTGCCCAAATCCTCTTCAAGACATTGGTACTGGCCTACCATGCTGCGAGGGGACCGGGTTCTTCCTACATCCAGGACATGGTTAAACCATACACTTCAGCATGTGCACTTCGCTCTGCAGCAGTGATACAGCTTGCTATTCCCCTGGGAGATGGACCCAGAAACCCCTCAACAAAAACACGCCTGTTTGCTATTCAGGCTCCATAATGGTGGAACGGGCTCCCCATTGATATCAGATCAGCAAAAAGTCTACATATCTTCCGTCTTAAACTGCAAACACACCGGTTTCGCTTGTATCTTGGCAAATATGTGAATAAAATGAGCACCTGAAGAGTTTAGCCAATTTGAAACTAGTGCACAAGCAATGCGGTTTGGTGATGGTTTGGCTTGTTTGAAGGAAAGTATCTGCATTTTTATTGTTGTTCTGAGTTTGTATCCTTATGGTTTATTGCTCTTTGGATAAGAGCGCCAGGCTAAATGAAATGTATTGTAATGTAATGTGACCCAGTAATTAAAAAAAATATTAAAAGTACTAGTTGCTGAAATATATTCAATATGTCACACAAAACCCTTAAAAGCTGTGATCCCTGGAGGTTGAGGCTTTCCCTATCTTATATCATTATTATACTATCTTTATCTATCATCCTTAAAGAAAATGCTTAAGAAGGGAAACACCAAAGTGGTCTGCAATGAACGTGCCTCAGAAGCAGCTGAGTGTGCAGAGGAGCTTGCAGGCAAACAGAAACAGATTGTGTGCATTGAGCAGCGAGTGAGATGGATGCAGCACCAGAAGGTTCAGAAACACTGGCTGAATAATGCGTGCTTCCTGAGAGCTGGCGCTAAATATCAATTATGAACAGCAAGCTGGTAATTACCAATTGATTTCCCTGCAATCGTTGGAGAGTAATTTCTGAATAGAAATGTACAAAAGGTTGGAGGAATCAGTTTATAGCCAATGTTTGACTTGATTGCTTCCATCTTGTAATGTCTCTAATTAACCTCGAATGTAATAAATGTTGCAAGGGATGAAAGAATGACTATGAAAGTTATTATTGTCTGCCTTTACCTCCGCCTAAGGGAGACATACCTGTCCTGAACAAAAGATAATGGTAACCTAGTTACCTAGTTTGTACTAAAGCACTCAAATCTGTTATATTTCAGCATAACAATCTCAAAACCTAGAAGTATAACATATTTTGGATCTTTTCTGACAATCAGTCGGAGATCTGTTGGCTGTTTTTAATATTAAAGCAGCAATTTCTTTATATGTATATCATTTGACTTTTTACCTTCAGTTTGAAACTGTTTTGTTCCACCTTGAAATCATCCTGGAAGGAGTGGGATCAAACCTGGTCATTTATTTCTGTAGAAGGGCATCTAAAGAGAAAGATTTCACAAAAGCAAAAATTAGATGCAGAAATTATAATATTTATACAAGAGGGAGGAATATTGATTTTGAACTCAGTGGGAGGTTAAAGTCAAATGACATGAAATCAAACCCCATTTTTAAACTGTTTATCGTGGCCATTTTTATACAAAAAATACCCAAACAACGTATTTAGATTGAATTATTTTCATTCTATGGTGGTTAAGTGGTAGTGGCAGAGTCCACAGACTTCCCCAAATATAATCAAATGTAATGAATTACAGTGTATTTATAAAAAAAAGAAGTGTTTTGATTGAATATACAGAACTGCATCATGAAATAATTACCGTGATATTAAATCAACTAGGCAGGCCTACAGTGCAGGCTAACATTAGACCTTGGCCATAACGCCAGCATTTACCCTTCAGGAGAAGTTCCTCTACTGCTGTCACCAGAAAGTGAACCAGTCAAATACAGCCAGTAGGTGGGAAGTAACTAAGTATATTTACTCAAGAACTACTTAAGTACAATCTTGAGATACTTGTACTTTACTTGAGTATTTCATTTTTGTGCTACTTTGTACTTCTACTCCACTACAATTCAGAGGTAAATCGTGTACCTTTACTCCACTACATTTACTTAATACCTTTAGTTACTTTGCAGATCTGGATTAATAGTGTGAAATATAATCAACACTTAAATCATAGGCTACTTTAGTTACACCTGGAGTAAATTCACAATCTACCCTGCAGTATACAAAGTCATTAAAACTACCTGCACTTTTACCAGCTTTGATAACACTTTAATGATCAATAATTATAATCAGAACATATCATATATATTATTCTGAAATGGGCCAATTTGCATTATTAGTACTTTTACTTTTGGTACTTTAAGTATATTTTGATGCTAATACTTTGCTAGCACTTTTGAATGCAGGACTTTTACTTGTAACAGAGTATTCCTACACTCTGGTACTTTTACTCAAGTACATGATCTGAGTACTTCCTCCACCTCTGCAGTCAATGCATCAGAGGAAGTAAAACTAAGTGTATTAAAGGCTATTTGAAACATTAACATTATCAGTGCAGGGATTGACGTATTGACAATAAAACGAAGCTCACAAATATAGTAATACTGCACAGTTCATTCAAAGGTGTTGTACCTGAAGAAGAATCAGAAGCCATTACTGTCGTCTCTCTTAGTTCCCGCCTTTGTTTCCCTTATTTATTTTTTGTGTATTTCGCGTTAAGGTCAGTCTCACCCGTCTGTTGGAGTTCGTTCGCAGGTGTCGCGAGTTGTTTCCTCCTCTCCTCTCTGCAGTGCACCCCCCACACAGCCCCCCACCTCAATATGAATATGTTTGTGTCCTATTATCCCGATATTGTACGTTTAGTCGCCCAAGTAAAATGAGTTTAAAGTCTGAACTCATGGAATCTCCATAAGCAACATTAAATGTATAACCGTACTGAATGTCAGTTGGCTTCCTCCAATCAGAGACAAGCTGGATTGACGTCACTTTCACCTATGCTCAGGTGTGCTTTAACCTGTTAAGCCCCAACGCCCCCATCGGCGGGTCTTTTTTTTTTTCACAAATAAAAAAAAAAAAAAACGTTTTTTTTTAATTTTTTAATTCTTTATTAATTTTTTTTATTTTAATTTTTTTTCTTTGAATGGAATGAATACCTATGGTGATAATTCAATGTAATACATCATTTTTATAGTCTGGTACCTGAAAAAGGTCAAATGGCACTGATGGAACCAGATATACCCAAATGTGCCGAAAGCCTATTCCGCCTGGAACTTTTTTTTGCTAAATCTCTCTAAAAAGGTCAAATTGAACTTGTTTTGCCTCAATCTTGATACAGGGTACTTATTATATGTTATAGTTTGGATTCCTAAAGCTTTTAGTCTACTAACCCATCATCCAAGGGTGGTTTTCACTATAAGTAATGGGTTTTTTGTAGGCGGAGGTAAGAATTTACCTTTTTTTACTATGTTCCATCTGAATTTACTCTGACTGAGAAAAATCTATATTGATTCTGACACTTCTACATCCAACTCACAGATGTAACCTTGCTTTGATAAAAGAAATTATTGATATAACCCTTTTAGAAGTGAAGTTGTAGTCATTTGTTTTGGGCATGTCATTTTCGAGCCTGAAACATGAAAAACAGGCTCGGGGCTTAACAGGTGGCTCAGAATAAATAAGAATGTGTAGTGATCACTGATTGACATAATTCACGCATGGAACTACAGGTTGGGGGTATTGTTTCCGCACGGACATATGTGTTGCTGACAGTATTTATTGTGTGCCCTCCTGGCTTCTTTCTCTTCTTCCCGGGCTGCGACCCGACAACATGTCCGTCTCTGCTGCTCATTAAAGCACCACTTTTCACCTTCGATGCACCGCCTCCGACTCCTATCTCTCGGCACTACAAATGCAACCAAAACCACATTTGAATTTGAAAAACATATTTATTTGAAATATTAACTTAAAGGTGGGGTAGGTAAGTTTGAGAAACCAGCTTTTTTCTTCGTCTTTCTATATTTGTTTTAAACCTTTTTTGTACCCGTGTACCCCTAATGTCAACATGTAATGTGTGTAAAATGTATGATGTTCATTTATTTTATATTTTCCTAAATATATATATATCATTGTTTTAATCAAATGTTGGCTCAGCTTGTACACAAAGGAGCACATTTTTAATAATGGAAATGCCATAGTGTGTTTTTGCCCCAAAAAGACTTTCATTAATTTAGTTATGTGAAGGTTAATCTTGTAGGTACAAATAAGATACCATCTTGTACCTAGTACGAGATTCATTTAGATTTTGTCCAACATTGCTCCCACAAATAATTGATTTCCACCTTTCCCTTCAGGGCGTCCGTAAAAAAAGACAATGTATTAATCTATTCTATTTTTCAACTTACTTTTCATACTGAAATGTGTGAAAAGAAACACAAAACACCCAAGATGCCAACATATATTAAAGCAGTGTGGGAAAGAACTTCCTTCTGGAGGGCACTTTGGGGTTTTAGCCTTTGCAGACCATTACCCATATAACACACTACAGGAAAGGGAAATCCCCAAGAAGCATAATAGGGCCCCTTTAACTCTGAAAGGATATACAATTATTACAATGTTTTTGTCATGCCTTAAGGTACACTGCCCCCTAGAGGTAAACCAATAAAACAGTCAATTTCACAACCTTCCATAACTTTATTCATTATCTCAACATTTTTTTACAGATTCTGCTCAAATATGACAAATAAACTCCCCCCCTTAATAAAGACTAATTGGAATATCTTTTAGTTAATAGTCAGTGGCCTTTTCATCTTTCAGGAACACAACTGAGAGCCGATGAATTAAATACAGAAGAATGATTGGGGACCATCATTTTCACAGTGCATTACAAAGCTCAGCGGTAAGACAAGGAGCTTATGATATTCTGTCGTAGCTCTCTACGGTATGTGGATGTCAGTCTTCTTGAAATTAAGGAAGCTCTTTAAAAAAAAAACACTTCATTTGAAAAAACAAACACTTCTGAGAGGCATTCCCCAGCACACAAACTAAGTAATCATTCACATCTGATTAGACATTATGTTAATAAATTAATCAACTATCTGTTATCTGCTATAGCGCCCTACCAACCCACCCACCCACCGAAAAAAACAAAATGTTCTATTCAAACCCAAATTTCCAGCATCTATCGACCACCGCTTTCCTGAGCTGAAACGGACAAAAAGTCGACCTTGCGTCACGCTAAACAACATATAAGAGGTGGAGTGCATGGCAGTAACTCGTGTTTTCTTTTTTAAATATATATAACATGACGGACAATGGTATGAAGCTTGTCCACGTCTTTGGCTGTCTTTTGATGATAGTTAACAGTTACACAATCCCATGTTTGTGATGGAATTATTTAAGTCAATTCAGCTCGATTGAGTTTATTGACAACGGGGACAAATAAGGGCCAATAAGCATAATTAGAGTAAATGAAATTTGAAAATAAATACAAGGGTTTATTTCTAGATGTAGATCTCACAATCATTTCACAAGCTCTAAATTATATTGACCTTTTTTTGTCCTATAAAAAGGTAATATTAAAGTAGACGGTTTAAATATCCTCTTTGTCACTGCAGTGTGTAAATACCCCTGTGTTTCGTCTGAATTGACCCAAACGCTGATAGGTGACACACGTGACCATCCCTGGTGTCCTAAACTCTGTTAAGACTGATATCAAAAGCATTCAAGTGCCTTCAAAACATAAGCAAATGATTTTCGTTGACCTAGATAAATTACAAAGGTATAAAAATGGCTCATATTCTATCACAAATATTAACAATTTTCTTTAGACAATGAGTGCTGTGGAAACAATGGAGGAAAACAACCTGTAAAACTTCAGTCCAGTGAATCTGATGCGCATCGAGTGGTTTCTGTTGGTCTTCACACGGGGTCAAATCACATCTTTAGCGCACCCAATATTTCTCTAGCATCCTGGGGCATTTATCTTGTTAACTGGAATCTACTGTGAGCCAACCCTCCGTAAACAGGCAGTAACCATGGTTGCAAGTGGAATATTTAGTGGGCAAAGATGTGGTCTGAGGTGAGCCGTGGTTGGGTCCTTATGTGCGCCGGGCCTTCTGTCTCTTGGCCTGACGTTTGGCTTCGTCCAGAGCAGCGTTGTCCGCGCTGACCTGGGACATGCTCCTCACTCCCTGGATACGGTTCACCAGCTGTAGCAGGAGGGGGATTACCTGCAACAGGAGAGCAAAACATGTTCTTACTTGAAAAATGTAAAACGCACAGTAAGTATTTTTTTGTATTGCACTCTTCTGGTTAGGATGACTTCAGTGTTTATCGTTCAGGAGGTTTTCTACCGGAAGCCGTATTGTTCGCAGAGGTCTCCTCTCCAAAACAAACAGACTCAGCTTTTGAATATGGTAAGAAATATGAATAAAGCAGTGTCAACTTAGAAATCAGTGTTTCTCCCATGCGGTTTGGTGGACTACGAATGTTTGGTAAGCTTGTTTTTCTGATAACTTAAGATCAAGACGACCGATGATTGAAATATTTTATCATGTTAAAATGTATTGTTAAGAAAGACCAAGCACATTGTCTCTGGAGTTGAAGTATGGGTTACATTTTTTATCGTATACCTCGATATCAGTATTGCGACAATAGGGTTGACAATTGGTGCTTTCATACATTTATAAAACAAAAATCATTTGATTGTAGAACGAGGAAAATAGACTATAAAACCACAAAGTGATATACGAGTTATATGGCCCCGCCCTAATGCAGGAGGAGGCAGGGGCGGACTGGCCATCTGTAGAATCTGGAGAATCACAGAACGGCCGGTCGTCAAGGGCCGTTGACGGCCGGCTCGGTTCGCTGACGGCTGGCACCGCCTTTAATTTATGTCTTTAAACGGCATCATTGAAGTTGTGCTGACAAGCGACAGAGGTCCACCGTTTCCCCGCAGCGAGGCTCCCCCCCCCGTTGACAGTTCACTAGCATCCCGCCCCTGGGAGGAGGTGAAGAGGGATAAGTACCTTCTCGTGGTTGTATGCTGCCAACAGGAGCAGCAGGGTGAGGGGCAGAGCGATGTACGAGCCCTGGGCTACATCCTGGTCAGGCACTTTACGCTGTGGGGAAGCACAAACACACAATCTGAGATGAGACAACTACAAGAGAAACTAATTAAATGAAGGGGAGGAGGGGGAATATTCTGAGTAAAAGCTCGGAATAAAGTTGGTTATTTAAATCTCTGAAAGTAAAGTTTTTTTTACAAGAAGGAACAACATATATTTGTTATTCATCTCCAATAAACTTGTCTTTTATGATTAATGAATCTTATCCCTAAAATGTTAAGTATTTTCTCTGAATATTACCCCCCAAGACTATATCTCGCTATATCTCACTACTAGTCAGGTATCCGGTAGTTAAAAACTGGATATTTTTACACAACAAAAAACCCTCATTTAAATATTCTGCAAGTTAAAAATGTCTCCTTACAGTGGGGTTGAAGGTGAGTGTGATGTGCTTGTGGTAACCGTTGGAGGTGAAGGTGACCTGAGGCAGAGTGAAGTCAAACTGGAAGCGGGACAGCGTGGAGTGCAGTATCAGCACGTAGCTCTGTGGAGGAGGAGAGAGGAGACTTTGTAACAAACAATAACAACAACAGCAGCATGTCCTCAGTCTATTCAGTTCAGACAAATATACAAACATTAAGAAGACTGAGAAGACTTGAGAAAAATCGGATTTGAGGTTTTAGCACCATAAAACGATCTTGAAAATGTTCATGATTAGATTGTTTTTCAATATAGTTATTCTTGAAGCCATACATTCGGGAGTCACAACCCCTGTGAGATGACTGGTTTGACTCAGAATTTGATCATTTTGCTCCAATAAGGTTTTGAATAGTCTATGAGAGGAGCACTATTAAATGTATCCCCAATCCAATTAGCATAGGGCTAACTGGAAGTAAGCCGACTAGGTTGGCAGAAGTCTCTTCTTTGGATTTGGCAGAATTGACGATTCTGCTAAATTATCAAATAATTTTGGCCAACAGAAAGTGTTGTATATTCTTTCGCTCATTGACCTATTCTGGTTAAAACAATACAAACTATTTAAAAAAACATTTATTTCATTCACTTAAATATTATTTTACACATTCATTGTTTTTTTTTAAATTTATATTGTATTCATTTACCCTGTATGCTAAATGTTTGCACCCCACTGCTGCATAACCAAGTGCCCCACAAGGGACAAATTAAGTTAATCCTTTTTTCAGGGTTCAGTCCTAAGAAGAATAAATTATATTAAAACTGTAAATTAAGCACTGTAATGTACTACAAACATTGATCCTGCCCTAATTTGACCTAAGAGCAGAAACACAAGCATACCTCTCCATCTCTGTCCAGCGGAGGGAAGTTGAAGAAGAGGGACTGTCCCAGAGAGATGCTGTTGATCGGGTTGTCCATGTTGTCACTCTTGTAAAGCTTCACCTGGATAAAGAGAATGGGGGTAAAAAAGAAAAACGTCAAGAACTGTAACTGCACATTCCTGCCGTATGAGCCTTGGAGGGGAGTTGCCGATATGTTCAATAAAAATGACCAAAATGCATTAGCCGCTTTCACACCAAGTACTTTGCCGTACTTAGTGCCCAGCACTTAGTGCCCAGCACTTAGTACCCCCATGGAACTAAGTACAGATCGCGTTCACACCGGAATAAGTTCCCTGAGGGAAGATTATGCAAATTAAGCCACTGACATCACTTCTTCTGCTTTGGGTTTACTGACAGGCCGCAAACCACTTCATGGCGTATACTGCCACCCGAAGTCCCCGGCCGGAAGTCCCCGGAGTAAATCGCCAGAACGCCGACACCTCCTCATCACTCCACCGCTCCAATGTTTTTTTTTTGTGTTGCTATAAGTTATTCTCTCTCTGTTGGTGCGCGGGGCTAATGCTAATGCCAGCAAATACAATGGCGGCTTCACAAAACTTTTCACAGTTTTACGGGGCATGGTTTGCAATTCGCCCAGCCAATCAGAAATTGGTACTTTTTTCTCCCCAGGATAGTACCACCTCTCTAGCAGGCACTAAAAATGGGGGTAAAAGTTCTCTGAACAAAGTTCTCTTTTTGGTGTGAACGCAAAATTCCAGGCACTATCGGAACTAAACGGGAAAAGTACAGGTAAAAGTACTCCGGTGTGAAAGCGCCTATTGGGAATATAAGCCCAGCAGTCCTACCGATAGTGTTGCGAGGTGTTCAGGGGACGTGTGGACGTTTCCACTGAGGTCAAACTGATTGATTTGTCTGAAGGCGATGATGTTGACCCCTTCAATGTCATTGCTGCCGACCTGAGGGGGAAACAGAGCTTAGATCAGATACAACCTTAGAAAATGCCAAATGTTAACTGTGGATAAAACTTTGCACAAGTCACAAGGTTTGATAATAATAGAGAATTAAATGGAACTAAGGCATTTCCTGCCTTGCCAGAGCGATTACGGAGCCTGAACTTCTGACAAACTAAAATTATAAAGAGAGATTTAAACTTGCAGCGGGATTACTACAAGAAACAAAAAAATAAAGCCCCATGTTTTCCACTCAGTTTAAAGTTCAACTAATCCAAAAAATGCAGTTTATTTCAACTACCCTAAAGCCGTCAGTTATTGCAAGAACACAAAACATTATTTTTCCATGAATCAGTGATTCTAAACATTTAAAAAACGTACAAAAAAACTATTTGCAGCTGTTAATGAGCTCCTGAACATCACCAATGACCCATTATTGTATCCTGACCAGATTATTTCTACTGTGTACCTTGGGATGGTAAATACAAATTATTGCTGCAGTGCTCACATTTCTTTGTTGTTAAATCTGGGAGTATTACAAACAGTTGTGCTTACAAGCCTTTAACACGTTAGCCTCTCACCTCTACTGCTCTGTATTGTGGTAAGGCCCTCTCTATGTGGTCGTTGCCTTCAGCTCGCAGCTGAATGAGATATTTGCAACCCGGCTGAAAGGAAAAAAACATAGTTAGAACACAGTGAAAAGGCTTGAAAGAAATAGCGTCTGCACAGCATTTCAGACATTGAATCAGTCAGTTATACCTGCTCAAATGGGGCATACACATTGTGTTAACAAGATTAGCTCATTTTTTGAGAACCTAAGTGTGTTAATTTCGTACTCACCAGCAGACCCCTGAGTCTGAAGCGCCCCTCTTCATCGGTGACAGTGTCCTCGCTGTAGATGCTACAGTCTGCCTGTCCCACCGCCTCCACGGCAACGTCCCTCTCTGCGTCCCCGCTCAGAGACTGCACGGCTCCGTAGCAGCTGAGGACGTATACACACTCATAAGACTTATGCTGTGGACATGTTAGGCCCCTATTATAAACAGCATCGAGGCACATGTGCATACCTGTAAGCGGTCTTGATGCCAGTGATATCGATACTGAGGTTCTGACCCTCCTCCACTGCGATCATCTGAGACGCCGGCTCAAAGCGGAACTCCTTCATCATGGGCTTGAAGTAGTACTGACCGGGACTCTGAGGAGAGGGAAGCAGAAAAATAAACACATTAGATAGAGATCCCGTCAACTAGCAGACTGTGAGAGCAGATTAACACACTGCTGGATCCCTACCAGGTTATTGAAGGTGAGCAGGCCGGTGTCCTGAGTCAGCAGGTTGGAGCGAAACTGTCCCCCACTCAGAGACAGGAGGACACCTGAAAGGGGAATACCGTCCTCTGATCTGATCTGCAGCACAGAGGGAAGGAGAGGACAGGTTATAGATCTCACGTCAATTAACTAACTGATCGATTTCTTCAGCACTTTATATTTATACCATATGAGTTTAAATTAATGATAGAAATTGGACATTTTTGGAATCTTAGAAGCTTTAGATGTGGTTGACCTAGTCATAAAAACCAATACATCGGTTCAAAGTCAATGCCAAATTTGTCGTAACTGGTAGGTACACAGTTTGTTTTTCTCAGCATCCTACTGTAGGTAACTGGGGATCTGGACTAATGGTTTTCCATCGACATGGAAAAATCCCAAAAGAAAATAAGCCAATTACAAAGGACAACAAAATGTTTTATTTAAGCTCACAGATGATGTTACAGCAATACAAAAATAGATATTAGAGAGGGAATTACAGGCAGCCTGTCGAACCTCCTAACAAAAGAATAACAATATTCAAACTTATCTAAAGAGTGTATGTTGAAGTACATTGGATTTACTGTCGTCTTTACAATTGTGAAATATAAATACAATTAAAAAATGTACCTTGAAGGTGACTCCAGCCAGAGCGAACGCCTTGAAGTCTCCCACGGTTCCCTCCACAGGACTCAGGACGAAGCCTTCTTTGCTGGCACTGATGTCGTACTGCCGGTCGCTGTGGAGCGGACCCACACTGAGGAGAGAGGGGAGCACAGCGCTGGTTAGGACTGCAGGTCTAGGATATATTCTATAAGGTCACAATACTTCAAGGCCATCTATGCCACTTAGTTTACGGACAAAACTAATACTCTTTTATTAGCCATGGTTTTGTACTGCTTTTGTCTCGCTTCATTTTTTTTTTTACCCGCTATTGAACTTTTGCTGTAACACTGTACATTTCCCCGCTGTGGGACTAATAAAGGATTTCTGATTAAGGTTGAACAGTAATAATGCATCGTTTGGTTCTCAGACCTGTATGCTCCCATCTCATTGGTGCCCACAGTAATGAGCGGTGCAGCGGCTCCTCTCTCAGTGATGGAGATCTCCACACCCTGCAGCTCTGGAGACACTTTGCCCGCCAGGAAGAGCCCGGCTCGCCCTGCGATGTCCACCAGACGACCCGGACACGACTCTGTGGAGGGAGAGGAAATACCATTTAGGTATTACAGAATTTGGGATGTTATTCATCGGTTTTCCAACTGATGAGTTACAGTTAAAGTAACTTTAAGTACTTAAGAAGCAGCTACAAACAGACACATATAGACAGTGGATTCACGATTAAGTGTGTGTGTGTGTGTGTGTGTGTGTGTGTGTGTGTGTGTGTGTGTGTGTGTGTTTACCTCCAGTAATGGTGGCCTCTACCTCTGGAGGATAGAACAGCAGTTCCTTGGATGAGGGCGTCACTGTGATCTTTTCTCCAGCCCTGCACAGATCAACAGAATATATAAACTCACTGCATCAACGCTTCACATTAGATTCCTGCCTGACCAATCGCAATAGCTCATGTGCCATCTACTATTTGCCAGAATACGAAGAGTGGTGCATAGATTACGTATTAACCCCAAAGTTAGCATTGCAAGGGCTCCCTCGACAAAAAGCAATGGGATTTTCCATTAACTTTTGGAGTGTTGCAAAAAATAAGATCTGTGGCAAACACACGTTTATGATACTTGCATGTTCCTTCAGCAGGATAATGTCCACATATTAATACAACTTTAATGATTTTTTAAGCGTAAATGAAATCTCAAGAAGTATAAAGCTAACATTAGCCTATAAAATATTCAAATGCTCAACGTTTTACTGTGATATCTTGTTTCAACAGTTACTTTGTTATTTTTTGTATTATTATTTTTATTCTATTTTATCTTTACTTTTTACCTTGTGAGAATCCTGTTTTTCACTCTGACCCTGTTGCTGCTATAAACGCCTGAACATCCCCACAGGGATAAATATAGTTCCATCTTATCTTGTCTTAAACAAACTCCATCAGGGTTGTACGACTACTCGTCAACACAGATGAGCTTAAAGCAGACTTGTTTTTTGGAATGTTTAGTATTCTCATTTAGTCACTTGTTAGCATCCTCTGTATTTAGACACTGTTGACTTCAAGACTAGGGAATCTTAAGTGCTAACTCATAGCCAGCCTTACCTTGCCCAGTAGGAGAACTCGTAGTGGAAGGGGCCTGTCAGGTCGTCGGCTTTCTCTTGGATGGGGGGGCTGTCGTCCCTGGCCCCTCCCTCCTCCTCGGCGGCGCGGCGCTCTCTCTCCTGGCGCCGCAGCGTGATCTCCTGCAGCTGCTGCTCCAGCCGCTGCTCCTCCAGGCTGCGCAGGGGCCCCAGCACCAGGGCCGGCTCACTCTCAATAGACGATCTGAAAAGATGGAGAATAAAAAACATTTGTAAGAGGATGCGCAGCAGTAGCTTATATTAGCACACAGTGTAGCCATGCTGAGTCATTACTTGATAGTAACGGTGACGTCCAGGATCTTGTCGGTGGTGATGAGCCCGGTCATGTGATGGCGCACTGCAGTGAGCGTCAGGATGCTGGGGGCCGAGCTGTTGGACATAGGTTAACAACAGTCAATTTATTGTATTGCATAGAGGGAAAACACTGAAATAAATAAATGGAAATCCTCTCATTACTTACGTATCGTACGTGTAGAAGTCCTGCTCAAACTGATGGCAGGAGCGAGGGGTGACTTTGTAAACACCTGGAGAAACATGTTTAGTTGATGAATTACTTCAGTTTTTATTAAGGTAAGCGTGACACAGACCCTTTGGCTCCAAACACTTTACTCTAACGATACACAAGGGATATTTCTCCTTTCTAGATATGCCAATTCCTACTATGTTAAAGTGGACCTATCATGCTATTTTTAGGCAATAGCATAGGTCTCAGATATATAAAAAAAATATAAAAAACATGTCTATGAAGTGTTTTGCTCAAAATACCAAACAGATCACCCATTCTAGCCATGCCTCATATCCCTCTATTTCACTTCCTGTTTCAAAAGTGCTGATTTGGGGTATAAAGTTTTTTTTTTAAATCAAAAAGGAGGGGGCTGAGCTCATGAGGGACCCGGCAGCTACCGTCTAAACTAAATACTGCCGTGATGAAACGCCATATCATGGATTATCAAGGATTATTTCTGAAACAGTATGGAGCTCAAAGGCTTTCTCTCTTGCCGGTTGTACCACAAGGTGAGTTCCTTTTTATTTCCTGCTTCTTCACACACATGCTCTGTGCAGTACAGGTTAGCTCTGAGTGTTAGCGATGCTAATGTAAACATGCACCGACCATATTACGTCCAAAACAGTCGGGCATTGTTTCTGATAGCAACGTTTCTGATAGGGCCGTGGGTGTAAAGCCAGCCCACATTTCCGATATTCGGACGCAAATCTGGATCAGCTCCGTTGCAGCCCCGTTTTTAGAGATTTGGGTACGGAGGAAAAGAGAGAGGGTTTTATTTTCTGACGCTGCGTGAGTTCCCCGACACACCGGGGACACATATTTATGTATAAAAGACATCAAAAAGTGCATTTTGCATGATAGGTCCCCTTTAAGCTAATGAGCGGTCAGGGGAAAGAACCTCACCAGGCTTTGAGAGGCAGAAGCGGTTGACTCCTTTAGAGAGGTTGTACACGCCGACGTTTTCGGGTTTGCTGCCATCTTGGAAGAACTCCTGTGCAGAAAAACAGATATAATTAGAATAATTGTGGAGGTGTCACCATCTGATACACACATCAGGTACTGATTACTGACCAGAGTGATAGCATGGGAGAGGGAGCAGCGCAGGATGTAGCCAATCTGTCTGAACTCCACCCCCACCACGTCTGAGTCCAGCACCTCCACCTCCATGGACTTATGCTTCCAGCACCACTCCTCGTGAGTAATACTCACTGAAAGGGGAGAACGAAAAATAATCAACACATAGAATAAAAGTAACAGAGAGACATGTTTGATGGAAGGATTTAAAGGTGCAAATCTGCTCCGAATAAATAGAGGCTTGCATTTAGCATTTTATATTTCCTGCTAGGCTATACATATGCTGAATTCAACTGCTAATGAAAGCTTCTACCACAGCTACTCATTGATTGAAGTGACAAAATATTTTACTTTCATCTTCTGCAAATATATGAATGAGGGCTAGGGCTGCTCGATTATGGCAAAAATCATAATCTCGATTATTTGGGTCAATAATTGATATCAAAAACGATTATCCATTTACTTTGAAAACATCAATTTATTGGCGAAAGAAAATTTGAACAGTATGTTTTTAACAGTTGATTACCCTGAACTTTAAGTATAATTCAACTGAAAAAAAAAAAAAGTAATAATAATAATAAAAACATTATCGTTTTATTTCGATTACGTTGTTTTCGTAATCGTTGCAAGCCATAATCGTAATCGCGATTAAAATACGATTAATTGAGCAGCCCTAATGAGGGCTGCACAATATATGTAAAAAAAAAAAACTGACACAAGCACATTTTTTTTGTACAATATAATGAATTATGTAAAAATACTGAATCGAGTCCTGACCTTTGTATTTCCCCGGTAAAACGTCCTCAAAGGAGAAGCTGAGGATGTCGTTGCTGCCGGACAGAGCCACCGTCCGCCTCTCTCCCTGCCGACTCACTGGCTGCAGAGTCACAGAGAGGTCATCGCAGGACGCTACAGATCAACCAGGAGACACAGGAGCCGGGAAAATATGAACAAACAACCCCATAAATATTTAAGTGGGACGGGAGCCACTAAGACAAAGACAGCACGTATACTAGAATTACAAATTCAGTGTATATTACCAAGCCTTTACCTAGACAGTAGACTTTCCCAGTGACAGAAGCCATGAACTGGGTGAAGAGTAGGTCTGTGAGGGGCCGGTCCACAAGGGAGACCTCCAGGGCCTGAGGCTGCAGAGCAAGCCCTGCCTTCACCTCCGCCTCGGGGAGAGACACCTGCAAGACAACAGAGTTACCATACTGCTACATAGGCACTGAAATCAATTATATCGCTAGGATACACCTCAAAAGACAAACATTAGATATCTTAGAATCAAGTGTTTGAGGTTAGCTTTGTGTCGATTTAGTCAGGGACTAGTTGCTGCGAGAGTCTTACATGGACACTGTAGTCTCCGGGTTTGGCCTGAAAGCAGAAGGCCCCCTGGGGGTCTGAGTCCACGGTCTTGCTCGAGGCCTTGTCTTGGCCCTGCTGAGTCAAGGTGACCTTGTAGCGGCCCTGCTGCTTCATGCCCTCAGGCAGGCGGCTGACGGAGATCTGGCCACACACACTGAACCTGTGGGAACAACATCAGAGGTCAGATCGAGCTAGGAAGAGTGCTGAAGCTGATATTTTTGATATTTCAGAACATGTGTAGTGTAGCTATTTAATATCATTTTTTACAGCGGACAGGCCATGCGTACCCTGCTGTGATGATGTCAGGAAGCTGGGGTGTGTTGGGGGCGATCTTCACTGTGATTGGCTCGAAGAACATGAGCTCCTTGGTGACACGGATGGTGTAGGTACCAGCCGTCATGTTCTCCAGGCGGAAAGAGCCTTCCTCCTTGCTGATGACTGAGGGACACAAGAGCGAAAGACGTAAAGTGAGAACAACGAAATGCACAAATGGAGCACTTCCACAGTTGGATGTTTTATTTATTGCTTTTCGGGAGTTTCTTTGTTTACCTTTGATCTGGTTGTTGAGGGACACTGTGGCATCAGGGACGCCCTCCCCCCCATCACTGTTGAGAACTCGGCCCGTCACAGAGAAGCCCATGACACGGAAGATTGGCTGCAACAGAAACAGTAAGGCATGTGGTATAACACATAAAACATATTCATACTCACAAGATAATGACGGTTATATCTATATATAGATATATTTTCACTCTTTACCTCCAGTTTCAAACTGTTGTGTTCCACTTTGAAATTCATCCTGGAAGGAGCGACATCAAACGTGATCCTTTCTCCTCTGTAGAAGGGCACCTTCAAAATATGATTTGCAGAATTTAGAAGCAGAAATGTGGATATTTACATCAGAGAAAGGCATTACCATTTCCAATACAGTTTGCAGGTCACATTTGCAATGCCCTGAAATGAACCCCAATAATGATACTCTTTATGGTGGCCCTTTATGTATTGCATAATATGTATCATAAATAAAGTGATTAACTTTCCATTATGTAGTTTTTAGTAGTTTCACAGCCCTTCAAAATTCTCAGTGGGTGTGTTGAAGTGCACTGTAACATTTCTGACAGAGTAGCTGCAAAAAAGGTTTGTTGTAGTATTAACAGCACTTGTCGGAGTGAAATCGTGTAGGGGACATACGTACAAAAGTTTTGTTTTTTTCAGTGCTTGTAAAACAAGACAACATAGTTCTTTTCACTGAGCTGCCTAGTCGAAAAGCCATTCAGGTCTGGCTCTTCTCCTATGTCTACATTTTGAATACCTCTAAAGAGGCAAAAATAAGAACTTGAGCTTTTTCCTAGTATTAGTGTAACCTTAATGCTACACAAGTCATTTTAAGGAGGACATCAGTTTAAACAAAAAAAAATGCCCTGATACAGAGGTAATGACTTATATCCAACAATTGTAGTAATTAAAAAAACGTTTTAACCTTATAACATTTTTTATTAGAGACATATTAGGCATTTTTCACAAAGCTCACCACGGTGTACACGCCGCTGGCCAGCGAGAGGAAGACGAAGGTTCCATCTTCCCTGGAGAGAGCGCTGCACAGGTAGAGCAGCGAGCTGTCCCCAGGATCTGCCCCCTCCACTGGGGATGTGTTACAGCCGCCGACGTCCTGAAATCACACAGATAGATATGATGCAATCTTACCTCGTTGTGCCGTTTGAAATCCAACCAAAACTTCCATAACATTCCAGTCACAACTGCTCACTGTTTAAAAATGTGAAATGGTTTACCTCTTTCTTGACTGTGGCCGAGTACAGGAGGAAGGTGACCTCTTTCATGGGCTCTCCATCACTGCGGACCTCCCCCGAGACGTCGTAGCCTCCAACCACCAGATTCTCGGCAGCGGGGGCGTTGGCATTGGAGACCACCACTGAGGTGGCTCTCTGTTCAAATAAAAAAAATAAAAAATCAGCATGAGAGTTACAGTAAGGGTCTGAATAATGGCGACTACTTCTGTGCGTGTGCGTCATTAGTTATAAACCTGCTGCACTGACAGGGAACCTAATCCGCTGAGCAAAAGGTGATTAATGAAGTATTACATACAGAACTAAAGAGAGCTGATGTGTTCTTCACTGGGAAGGGCCCTACTTTGGTACCCAGTGGCGTTTTAGCACAGTATTTGTCTATTTCCTATGAAGTTATTAATGATGTTTATGGAGTGGCTACATGCTAGCATAGCCATGATCTTTCTGAACTTTAGTCAGACAACAAGAATTTTTAAAGGTTTCATACACTTCCTCAAATCCGCTTGTTATCATACAGATCTGAATACATAAATTCAAGACTTTCTTTTACAAATAGGCATTATGATGTTATTTTGGAATCCTTTTGATCTATTATTTTCGGACAATGACAGGAGGAGGACTTTGTGCCCGATTTATTTTTGCAGACTTTTGTCTTTTCATATAGCCAAAATCTGTCAAACTGATGCAAGTTGCGCAAGGAAAATATTGAAATAAACATATTTGAGTCCAAAAAGCTACTTTAACTTCTTCTGAATTATATGATCATACAATATTAGAGGTTTATGGGGAAGTTAGCTAGCCTATCACTCCACAAATCTACTGCATTGACCAACATTTTGACTTTCTGTGTCCAGTAAATTAAGAACATATTAATTCAAAAGCTTCTAAAAAATGCCATGGGAGACATCACATATGACACATTTGTGTTCTAGTCAGTCTGTGCTGTTAATAGGGCCATATGAAATCTGAAGTGAGTGTACAAACCTGCTCCAGAGTCCAAGAAGGATGGGAAGCTGTGATGTCATAATTTCCAGGGAGTACTTTTAAAAAGGTGTACCTGGGTAAGGAAGGAAACAAAATGAAATGGCAATGTAAGAGGGATCAGTTTAGTGATATAAAAATCAAAAAAACAAAAAAGGAGAGAGTACTTACTTTCCTCCAGGCTTTGTGACGACGCTCTGGAGTTTCTCCTCTGTTCCCACTCGGGTGAGTTTCACTTCTACTCCAGCAGGACCCAGGGGATGGCCTTTACTGAGAACCTGAAGAGAGAGATGCTTTATGCTCTGAATTCATTCCTACAACTGATAATACTCAAAATAAAACGTGGTTAATTGATTTTCAACTTGTTATTTATGGTGGTTTCTTTGTGCATATTTATGAAAGGAAGGTGGGCTTAGCAATTGATCGAATTTCGATTAGCGTTAAGACTTCCAGCATTATACAGAGACATGAGACAAGATAATCAACATGAAGTGATCAGTGTACGCATTCCGTTGTGCAATGAAGCTATCATTTTGTCTTGTGTTATTAATCCAGCACACCCCTTTCCTTTACAGAGGCGTACTTTAACCCTTCTCTTAGAAAGAGGGTCTGAATCAATGTGTTTATGATTTAATTGTTGACAAACATAAAACTCTTCATAAATCTGGGCTCTTGATTTTACCCTCAAAGTGCACCAGACTGTTGCTTTTATTTGTAAAATGTTTATTTTTTAAATGCATGTTTTGTGTAAAAAAAAGATCTCAACTGTACAAAAATAATTGAGATTAGCAAATTGCACAAAAAAAGCAGAGCAGCCAGCCATGCAGAACTAAACAAAGACTGTTGGATGTGTGAGGAGCTAATTCCAAGCACTTTTACAATTGTTCTTAAATACCACAGTCAGAATTGTAGGCGTTAACCTTTATTTTCATGCAGATAAGCTTTCATAGTCAAGAGAAAATTATTCTGATATAAAGACAGGAAATCCTTCAAAATGCTCACCGTTCCTGAGACCGAGAAGCCAGTGAAGACAAAGTTGATGTCTTCCTCTTTTGTACAAATGTCACTCACTCCATCCACATGGAGGTCGACACTGGTGGGCTCTGGTGAGAGTTAAAACCCAAGAAGAAAAGTTAATAATGGACAAAAATAAATTGAAATGAGAAAATAAATATTGCAAACAATCTAGACCGATCTGTCTTTGCATTTCCTGGAGTACAAACACATGAATAATATGTTTTGAGCTGTGAGTTTACCGAAGCTCCATCCAAGAGGAGGCTCGATCTTTAAAACAAAGTCCCCCTATGTGAAAGAAACAAGTGTAAAGATTATAATCATCATTGGTAAATAAAATACATAAAATGCTCAAATGTAATGAATATCATACCTTGTCATACAGGGGGATCATAAAGTAGCCATTGATTGGAGCACAGTCCGTTTGATATTTCAGGGATCCTTGTTTGGTGTACAGTTTAATCTGTGTATGAAAGAAGACATCATTAAATAGTGTAGTATACTTGAACAAATAAATGCCTTAAATACAACTTCGAATGGGAAATTGGTTAATTCATTTGTATCAGCTGTCATTCGCAAACAGACCAGAATATCTGGGATTAAATTAATTTCACCAATTAGGCGAATGGCTAATCCAATGGAGCCTGTTAATGAGCAGGGATTATGAATAGTGGCTAGCAACCCCTTGTGCACAGACAAACAGGGTTTTTTTTAAGTTTGAGTGAGAATTGTAACACAAATAAACTGTAATAGGGCTAATGTATCAATGCTAACATAGCTTTGCAGTCAACCGCAACTGCGTAGAGAAAACGTCCGAATTAGCAGACTAGCATAGCTGCCAAAATTAAAATGTTCCCTTTAATTAATTTTAGTAAGCAACAGAGATACAACTTTTACAAAAAGTAGATTGAAGTTGAGTTCATTTCATTCATACTGTCATACAAACACATCTCTGGTTCCGCCTAACCTTTAGCCTACTACGATAAACCAGCTAACGGTTAGCTAGCCGCTAGGTAGCTAGCTATCGGAAGGCTTGCACTCTCACCTCGATCAGAGAGTAATTGATCTCCACGTCGGATTTCACAAATCCCCCGCATGCCACCACTATGTCATCAGAGGAAACTGTCAAAAACTGGGAATAGGTGATACATAATAACACCCAAATGGCTCCCACGTCTGCCCGGATTGTAATTCTCAACATTTTCGGCTAACTGATCTCTCGATGAACCAACCAAGCAACAGCACGCTGCCTCCGGTTCCGTACCAGCTGAGCTGCTGTCAGAGGCCGAGCGCAGCGCCCCGAGCAGCGGCCTCTGTCGGCCGGAGGTGGTATAACAGGCCAAAGAAAAGAACAGGGCACAGAAGAAAAAAGCCAGTGGAACACGAAGATTATTTCACATCATTTTAAATGTATTTATTTTACAGTCACCACAGTCATATACAAATGCTTCATAATAAAGAAAAACAGTACTTATTCCAAAGACATAAACCTTATTTTTAGTAATATAGTACCGACACCCATCATCCAAAATATGTTATAAAACTAATTCACAGTTTCGAGTGACCTTTTTTGTTAGATGAAGATTTACTCAAAACCAATGACAGCGATAATTATGCAAGTAAAACATATGTTTGTCTTAGAATAGTGTTTATCACAGCCCTTAGGTAAACTTAACTTGAATCCATTAATTCAAGATACAAGATTTAGTTGAAGTATCTTGAAATACAAATATATAGTATATATATCTATATATATAGATATATATGCTCCTTTGGTACCTCAATGTATATATTTTTGCTTGTTTGTTTTGTTGCTATATATATAATTTAAAAATAAAAATGTGACTGTAATCATGTTCCTTTTACCATTACTGTTTTAAATGTAGTCGTTTTTTGCATTAATATACAATCATTATTGATGATAAACAGTAGATGATGATAGACGATGCCCACACTGTTTTGTAAACACACAAATTATAAAAAGTAAGAAAACAGTAGTGTTAATACATTTAAAGTGCATACATTTCAGAAAGGTTGTTACAAACTCCAGTGGTTATAATAATGCAAGTCCTTCTCAGAAGGAAGAAATGACAGTACATACAACAGATAAAAAACACCACAAATGATATTGTTTTAAAAATACTTGAACATTGCATCCTCTTAAGGGTTTTATAATAATCAGATTGTCAACGAAAGAACACACAAAAACACACTACATTAATTTAAGCAGGTCCAGAGAAGCTCCGAAGTAGTGTTTTCATAATAAAAAATAGAAGATATTAATTCAGTTTTCAAATCCAGTCCGTCCAGTCTTGTTCTTTTTGGTCTGTATAAGCAGGTAGTGCGTCACACATGTGTGGAGGAGTCAGGAGGTGAGTGTGCCAGGAACACACTTTCATTGAAATTGTTGGAGAAGCTGGTGTGATAGCTGGGGCTGCGGGGCTGGGATTTGGACCCCGGGGATTTGATAGCCGAGAGCCTCTGGGCCTGGCACAGCTTTTGGATCAGGAAACGTTTGTCACGGCCCTCCTGGGATACAAAATGACACAGTTAGTAGGTCCAATTATGGTTATTACTCAAATGACAAACGGCGAGATAGAATAAACCAGAATGGTGAAATAGAATTAGAAAATGTATTTTGCAGAAAACCTACCACTACCAGCTGCTCCCTTAGTTGGTTAATAACTCTCTTGTGAGCTCCAGCTAGTGCAATCACATAAAACATGATCAAACTGTTGGGGGAAAACAGGAAGTTGATTAAACTTCAACCATAAAGAGTAAAGAACACTTGTTACAACTGTTCAAATGCTGATGGAAACACGTACCATGTGACAACAAAGAAGGAGACAGCGAAGGCCTCTGATGAGAGAGCGAAGAGGAGGGTTTTGATTCCATGGGGTAGCTCGGATACTGTATTTGGCAGCACCTCCCAGGAGGTGGTGTAATTAACGAATGGTCCACAGGCCTGGGAAGAGTTTATTCTGTGCAACAAGGGAAGGGTGAATGAGGATGTATGCCAAACAAAATGGATGCAGCAATGAGCTGTGCTACCATTCTTTAGGTCAGTAAAATGCAGAAGAGATTAATGACAAATATCATGTCAACATGTATGTTTTACATTTAAATGTAGTATACAAGAGAGAAGTATAGACATGATATAACAAAACAGACTGAAAGTGTGCTCTCAAATGTAATAAAACAGTTATGTTTCAGAATTTCTATCAGACACTTAAAAAAAACAGAAAAAACAAGAAATGCCACTTTCAATGCTTAGTCATCAGTGGCCTAAATGACCATGTGACAGGCTGCTGAAAAGCAATGTAAAAGGATTTTTTTTTTAACGACGGCTCTGCAATACGGAGAAAATCTAATATTAGTATATTTCTGATCGGATACCCCAATATCGATAATGCAACGGTATTGTAGGGATGACTATTCGTTCTTTCAAAAAAGAGTTTTAATAAATATTCATTAGTAACATGAATATAATGGGTAAAAGCAAATAATTGAACAGCTAGAACAGTCCGTAAAGTTCAGAAAATGACCTCACTTTACTGTAATGCAGCCAAAGTTACATATCTACGGAGCCCTGGAGGGTTCATAGAGAGAAAAATAAATAGAACAAGGCCACGTTTTAATTATTCGTGCGCACGAGATGTAATTCGTGGCCTTAATTTAAATAAAACGAGTCCACGCTTTATTAATTAGAGCGCACAATATACTTTCTCGTTCGCACGAGATACTTTCTCGTTCACACAAGATACTTTCTCGTTCACACGAGATACTTTCTCGTGCGCACGAGATACTTTTTATGGTTAGACACATCGAACTGCCCGATTATTACGCCATATTATTAGTTTTATGAAGAAGATCTCCGGTCGCCAGGGCGTGTGTGTGTGTGTATGTTTGTTTGTGTGTCTGTGTGTGTATGTGTGTGTGTGGGCATTTGTTTTCAGAAGATATTATGATAGTGGCGTTCGTTCCGGTGCACTCCGACAGCATTTAGCACTAGCCTACATCGAGATTAGGTTAAACGAACTTCTTTCACTTGGGAATACACATATGGAGTTAGCCAGATGGGTGTAAATGACTGTTCATGGTCATTTGAAAACAAATGCCGGTGTCGGACACACACATACACCGAACACACACACACCCACACAGAGCTGAGCTGAGCAGAGCACAAACACACACACATCATGTAGCATTTCACGTTTCCATAGCAACAACAACTTCCTGTCAACAGCGTAAACTCGCCTTCAAAATAAAAGTTAACCTAAATTACATTTAAGACATATACAACTGCAACGAAAGTAACAAAAACAATGTCATATCCTGTGATCCTGTCATATCTCCTTATTTACACATCATGCGCCCTGGTGACTGGATATCTCCTTCATAAAACGAGTAACAGGGGGAATAATCGGGCAGTGCGTGCGTGCGTGCGTGTGTGGCTAAAACGTAGCAGCCTCGATCTCTATTCAGCTGTTCAAAAGGTAAACACAGTGAAGGCGCTGCGTAAAAGACACAGCTCTCTCAGATAGCAGATACTGTGAGAGTCACGGACATGAATTCATAGATCAAGGCAGACTGGTTCACAGACTCTCCTGTTTTGCGAATCCGGTGCTTAAACAAATAGCTCTACGCCTCTGGCCGAAATGTCCCTAAAATGAAGTCCGAGTTTGAAATATATCTCAAATAATGTATGCACTGCCATTTCCCCACATAAACATAACAGTCTGCAATGAAACGGTTGTCTCCTGTGCGCTCCACTTCCTACTTGGCGCACCGGTATCTCGTGCGCACGAGAAAGTATCTCGTGCGCACAAATTAATAAAGTGTGGCCTCGTTTTATTTAAATTGAGGCCACGAATTACATCTCGTGCGCACGAATTAATAAAACGTGGCCTCGTTTTATTTAAATTGAGGCCACGAATTACATCTCGTGCGCACGAATTAATAAAACGTGGCCTCGTTTTATTTATTTTTCTCTCTATGAACCCTCCAGGGCTCCGTACATATCTAATATTACAGTATTTAACATATCACAGACAGCATATTGCCCACTTCACATCAAAATGCACCAGGGTTTACACTTCCAGAGCTAAACAGATTCACCAATCGGTTTAACCGAATATTTTTTGGTCTATAGTAGCTCAGTAAATCACACTAAAACACAGAATCTGTCAGAGCGTCAGCCTGTTGTTCACTACCAAGGTTTTCTGTGTAACAACATTAGCTTCACTTCCCCTGTCTCTCCTCTGCTCGGCGTGGAGAGGGCCCACAGTTGGTGAAACACGAGAGCAGAGGATATTAATGATCGATGCAGCAGCGATCATAAATCTGTAGTTGATTCACTGGTCAACAACAATGCATTACTTACTGTGCCACACTGAAAGAGACGGGCAGGCAGGCCAGAGCCAGGCCTATCAGCAGCACCACCAGGAAGAAGAAGTTGGAGCTGGAGGCTCGGAATGGACGTGTGGCTGGACGGCAGTTGTTGATCAAAGACACCTTCAAACAGGAATCAGAAAACAATGGAAACTTCTAGAACTTCTGAATATAATCCATGGAATAAAGTAAGAAATATCACCTTTTTAATATAGAAGATAAAGAAGTATTTCATCGTGCAGATGGCAGGCAGCATCGGGCTGTAGAACGTGCCGATCCAGCAGATGGTCTGACCGTAGACGATCTCCAGCACGTTCTGAGGGATGGCAAACTCCTGCTGGCCAAACCACTTCGCCAGGCCGCAGTCACAGTGCTGCACTATCAGCCTGGGTAGCACAGGGCAACACATGGACAACGGGTTAAAAATTACTAAAGAAGAAAGGATGACAATGACTTCAACGTAAAAGTGTTCAAGACATTTGGAGGCCAAAGAATAAAATACACATATATTGTGCCAGCTGTGCAAAGAAGACAGCGTGGAAACAGAGTTGCACTGTTTGACAGAATGCACAAAACTCCAACCAATCCGGACACAATATTTCTCCAAATTTAAAAACAAACATCCTGAATTTCACCACATGACAAACAATCCAAAAAATTCCAATCCTGTTAGGAGAGCTCAAAGAGAGCTGTCTGGCAGCAGAATATGTATTTACCTGCTACAAGGTAGGAGCAGTGAGTGACCACACACGCACACACTTTTTTTTATTTTTTTTTATTTGCACGTTATTGTTGGCATGTACAGTTTGTTTTGTGTTTTGCTGTTGTGCCACATTTATTGTTGGCATGTGTGTTTAGTGTTTGTTTTTGTTCTGTTATCACGCCTTGTGCTGAATGCTTTGGCAATGCTATGTGTAATATGTGGTCATGCCAATAAAGCCCCTTTGTATTGTATTGTATTGTATTGTATTGTGTCAACAAAACTAGAATAACAGTTTTATTTAAGAATCTATTAAGAGGATAAAGATGTTTTGTCTTTATTGATGAGGACTTACTTTCTGGGAAACTCCACAAAGACGGTGACTGCAAAAATGATGATGAAGTCAAAGATGGTGAGTTTGTACATCTCCTGTCCAACGCGGGTCTCCCAACACTGTGGACAGAAACAGAGGCACAAATCAAGAAGATTGGAAGGAATCCTCTGAGACACATCCCAGTATCAGTTCAGTTTCAACCACCATATGTTACAGAAGAATGGAGTTTATACTAAAAATTGAAATGGAGGATTCTAATAGAATGACATTTTTATCATCACACATTATCACTGCACCCACTCACATTTAGATTTGACCCATCCTGGTATTAGGAAGGGATGGAAGCTACAATATATATTAAGTGCCCGAGGAGCAGTGTAGCAGTCAGGAGCCTTTGTTTAAGGGCGCCACTCTAGGTACAAGTCCATCCTCTGAACTTAGTACAATTGGAGATTTGAACCTCAAGTTCTCAAGCAAAGTCTCAAGGGACAGAGCTAAATGATTGACCAAAGAATTACCAAATAAAGTGATCACTTAGCAATCAAGAGCTTATGTAAATTTAAAGTAATATAAATTATTTTAATTATACGTAATTATTTACTAAAATGTAATCTTAATAGCTTTAAAACCCCTTTGATTGTTGCAAAAAGAACTTTGATCCACAGGTTTGCATGTCGACATAGAGATGAAAACGTAATTTTTTCCCAAAGAGTCATTGTTTGTTGTGTTGGGATGAAGGGAAATGACTCACAGAGTAAAGCACGTGGTTATAGCCACACAGGCATGGCTCATTTTCACATTTAGTGATCTGAGACCAGAGAGAGAAGAGCAGAACCCCGATGCTGGTCAACCGCATGAAGACACACCTGGGGAGAAAGGGAAATGAAAGAATGACGGAGCGTAGCTGAGTAAGTGTTTCACAATAGAAACATGTCCACACAGCTACAAATTCTTCCTAAATGCATCGCAATGAATCAGTTTGAAAAGGAGACGTCACACACACACACTCAGGAGGTGAACAAACTATTTTCCAAATCACCAAATTGTTTCATTTTCCCCCAAGTTGAACACAATCCTGTCATTGTCATTACTCTAAGGATTGAATCCCCCTCATCTTTTAAAGGCAAATATGCCACTTTAATATAATGTTTGTCTCCTTATAACATTACTTTTCAGGTAAACATCTCCATCAAGAGAAAAAATTAGAAAGTAGATGAATGGAAGTCTGCAGTACCTCATGAGAGTGAAGCGGATTTCGAAGGCAGGCGAGTAGTCCTCGTAATTTATTATAGCCGAGAAGAGGAGGGGGGTGATGAAGTTAGCCAAGGTGATGACAATTGAGGGGAGATACTCAACGATGAGATCCACGATGAAATTATCCTGCAACCAAGGCCAAAAGATAATGTCAGATCAAAGATTTTATTTAAATGTCATCAACTTTTTCTTGCAAATTTGAAAGAAGGAGCTTAGCTTTTACAAAATGCTTTAGATAACAAGGAGAAAAGAGAAAACAGTTGGTTAAGTAGAAACATGAAGACATTTTGACAGGAGGATAACAAATGTTTGAAGTGGTGGTCGGATTCCGTTACCTTTTTACTATCCCTCTGGCATTCCTGGGAGAAGATGGTGGCTTGGTAAATGCTGTAGAAGCAACCCATCAGCACACCGATGACGAAAAGGTTGAGGATGAGGCGGATGAGGTAAATCCGGCACCTCTCTTTGCGGGTTCGATCTGCTATTTTCTGTTTGATCCTCTCCTCCTCCAAATCTGTCTGAGGATAGAACAGAATAAGACATTTTAAAGGCTGGCAAACATTCAGCGGATAGATAGAATAAACATTTGCAACAATGTATTAATCAAACTAAATACACTATGTTATAAACTAAAAGTGTCTGCAGCAGCATCCATCCAAAGTTGAATATCAATTTGGTGAAAGGCACCAGACGATAAGACATCCTGAAGAGAGTCAGAAATCTTAGTTATACTTGTCAGTAGTTTATAGAATGAAATAAACAAACATTCATTTTACTCAAACACATACCTATAAATAGTACAACCAGAGAAACTGATAATGCTGCAGTGGTCTCTTAAGTTTTTCTAGAGCTGTAGCTTCATACTTTGCCCACGCTATTCTATAATGCTATTTAGGTTTATATTGTACTCTAAGCATGTCAACATGATCACCGATGCCCTTATGTTATGTCTCAGTTCATGTTTAAAGGGGTCCTATTATGCTATTTTGCATTTTTCCCTTTCCTGTAGTGTGGTATAGGTTATTGTGCATGTAAATGGTCTGTAAAGGCTAAAATCCCTGTGTTCCCTCCAGAGGGAGTGTCTCTTCCACACACTCAGCCCCTGCCTGAAACGCCTCCATTGGACTCCTTTGTTTACTTCTGTAACATAGTAACTTCACTATGTACTGTAACACTCACGCTTTTATTTGCTAGCACTCCAACAAATTGTATCTGATAGGCTAAGGGGCGGGAGATCTATAAGCGGTTGACCAATCACAACAAAGCCGGCCAGCTGCACAATAATAAAACAAGTTCGACTAAAATGATGAACAGTTGGATTAATCACCCTGAGCTCGTAGAGCAGACTGCTTCTCTTGAGCCTCACTGCGTTCTCGTTGGTGATGCAGAAGTCCCAGCCGGCGAAAATCTTGTTGCAGAAACTCTGGAAACGATCCTCATCCTGAACCAGGTTACGTTTAAATCCTGTGGCAGACCTTGAAGAAAAGTAATCCAAAGTGAACATCACTTCCAGAGACTCAAACTAACTCCACATGTTTATTTATTTAATTTTCAGTACCTTTTAACAATCCAGATGAGACTGAAGAACAGGTAGGCTATGGTGACCAACAGGTAGGCCAGCGGCAAATTGTAAGTGGAATTAGAAAAGTGGATTTTGTCCGCTCTGTAGTAGCCGTAGAAAAGATAAGTCTGTTCCAGAAAGCCCTGTTGATAAAGCACAAAAGAAACGTGAGAAAACAACACATCCCTTTTTCTTCCGGGGGACTTGTACATGTGAAGTGTAATGACTTACTCCTCCAGACAGCAGATCTGTAATGTGCTCATGAAAGATGACCAGCCCTCGCCGAGCGCTGCTGGGATACACACTGCACTCACTTCCTGTAGCAAAAAACAGGAAAGTATAAGACTAATGCCTGCCTTGTTTTAATATAAACGTTGAAAGTGTCCTCTCGCCTAAATTCAGGTTGTAGGTGATATTCCCCGAAACGTTAGGAGCTATGATGATGGGTAACATGACGAAGCTGAACATGAGCACAAAGATGATCAAGTTGAGCATGACCAGGAAGCGCAGGAAGGAGAAGTACGACAGGATCCCTGTGCCGAACATCCCTGGGAGAACAAGTGGAGAGAATTCCATTATCAAAACAAAATTGGTAAATTTTCTGTGAGTGCAATAGTATGTTAACATGTTGGCCATCATGAGAGGAAATTAATAAAAGTCTAAGGACAATTCATCTGAGAGCTGCCAGAAGGATGTTTTTACAGTTTTCAATTTTATTTTGTTTCTAAAACATAATATTTCCCTGAGTATTTGGAAGGTGGTGTCAGCTGTGTTGGTTTTAAATCATCCTGTTGTGTTAGAATTCATCTCTAAAAGTCTGTCATTGAGTTTGACACACATGCAAAACAGAGTTGATTTAAATCAGTTTGGATCAGATTCACCAGAACATCTATTATGATAGTCACCCCGAGCTTTCTTAAGCTTTGGTCAGAAAGAAGCTGGTTTTATCCTTTGTTAAATCCAATATGGCTTTTAAATCTGTATGTAAGAATGAACTTCATGAAAGATGCAGATCCTGCATGTTCTGAATTTGTATCTTCTTAGTTGCACTGATTGTAAGTAGCTTTGGATAAAAGTGTCAGCTTGATGAAATGTAAGGTAATATGAGCTCATATTTCATGCCTCACCCTCTATGAGGTGGATGTCGCCCCTCCAGAGCTTCAGGGAGCCCAGCCACTGGTGAACATCGTCCCTCAGCCTCCTCAGATGCCGGCGGGTGCTGTGCTCCAACTGTTTCAAACTGCTGAGCTCTCGATCTTCCTCCAAGCGCTGTGTGCTAAAAGTGAAACACATTGTTGCTATATAATACCCTTTAAACATAGCCAGTAAAATAAGAATGTAAGCACTTTCAAAACAGCGTCATTCAAGACAGTGTATAGTGATATTTCTCCCACTTGTCTCTGCGTTTCTCGGCCATGGTCCTGGGGAGTTCCCTGATGGGTCTCTCCTCCGTCTGACTCTTCTGTTTCTCCTCACGCCTGCTGATGGTGCCCACGCCCCATTTCCCACTGCCAGAGGAGCCGATGCGCCCTCTGGAGCTGCTCCTTCGCTTGGTGCCAGCCGTGGACGACTTCCTGCGGTACAGCAGGGACTGGTAGCTGGGGAGCTGGTCCAACAGTGGGTTACTGCTGACCCTTCCACTACGATCAGTGTAGAACACTTGGAAAGGTGGACATAATATGATTGCAGAGTTATTACTTGTGATAATGGTTATGATATAAGGCTGCAAGATTTTGAAAATAAATATTCTTTCATCACTGGATTGAATTAAAATAAGTTAGTGACTGATGCTGATTGCTCCAAGAGAAAAAAACAATGCTGCAAAACATATTTGTGGGCATTATAAATCCATTGATAAAGTAGCAGTGTTACTAATATTGCTCAAAATCAGGATAGTCCCATTCGTCACAATAATGACCTATCCATGTCAACAGCAATGGGTAATCCCATGCCTTTAATGATACTTGAACCTGCCATAAGTACGTTTCTCGATGACAATAGTTATTAATACAAACATTATGTTACATGGATATGTTGTTGAGGAGGTAGTTTGTGGATTCTTTATTGTATTCTCTTACAATGTTATATTGTATCCATATACATTTCAGTGGGATCGAATTTACCTGGGTTATGTGTCAGTGTAATCAATGCTGTGAAAAACTACTACTACTTCTATCAAATCACATGAGGATGTTACAATTTCGTAAGAAAATAAGAAATCTCCAAATGTTAGAAATGACAGGGTATCTATAAAATCAAATCAATATGTTTGATTCAGTACAAGATTGTCAGTACTAGCTTATGCCTGTTTATAAGTGAAAACATTCATATAAAAAAACAAGGTGTTGCATTTTCTCCAGCAACTAACACTGGAGTTAGGTATTTTCCTCCCTTGTTGTGTTTATCCAGCTTCAGAGAATGCCTACCCAAGAAGCAGACTCAGCAAGTAATAAATGCAAACAACGTAGTTTTGGTAAAGAGAGTCAGACGAAACCAAACAATACTATAAGTCCATAACTTATTCCAAAAACCGTTTAACAAAACATCAGCTAGCCTGTCATAGGTGTTAGCCTGTTGTTAACGATTCTTTGACCTAAGTTTGAGGCTAGCGTTACTAGCTTTGTAGCTAATGCTGCGGTATGTTTTAATAGACCCAGCTCACTTATCAGTAGGGATAGCTGCAGATACAAGTATAGCATTAACTTCCAGTTTACCTGAGTCGACCTCCATTGTTTCCTTCTCCAAATAACAATAGCTATTTGTTGGATAATATTAGCTAACAATTTACCGAGCAGACTTTGTCAACTGGGAGTTGACTCCGCTGTCAGACTTCCCAGAGACCACTTCCTGGATGTGGATACAGGAGCAGCCCGGAGCGCACTCACTGGAACCAGTGGGGCAAAAAGTACTCAGATACTTTACTTGAGTAAAAGTAGAAATATTATGGTTTTAAATACTCCATTACAAGTAAAAGTCCTGAGGTCAAAATGTTACAGTAGAAGTATAGACGTATTATGAGTAGTAGGCCTACTCATTGTGCAGAATGGCTCTTTTAAAATGTTATATTATTACAGATTATTAACCTGTTTTTGTATCACTAACAAATACACATAATATGTTTTCCAATGTTGTAATTTGTCAATGTAGAACATATTTCGGATATTCTGAGTTTTGTGCTACTCTATAAATGTGTGTGTGTGTGTGTGTGTGTGTGTGTGTGTGTGTGTGTGTGTGTGTGTGTGTGTGTGTGTGTGTGTGTGTGTGTATACAATACAGTATAGGCTACTATACTTATATACTCACAATAATTTACTTTTTCATATATCATTATATTGTACAAACATATTACTTAACTACAAGTTTCAAATAAATGTAGTGTAGTAAAAAGTACGATATTTCCCTTTGAGTGCAAGTATAAAGTAGCAGAAAATGGAAATACTCAATTAAAGTATACGTACCTCAAAATTGTACTTGAGTATAGCACTTGAATAAAAGTACTTAAGAGACATCCACCACTGACTGTAAATGTATTGTATTTAAATGGAATGTTATTGTATATTTTTTTATTTCATTCAGTCTTTTATTACTGGTTTAAAAATATATATATATTTACATTAAATGGATTCTTTGTTAATAGTTTCAATCCCTCATCTATATGTAAATGTATGTTATTTATAAAAGAGGAAAATGAATGAACTTGTATGAAGTTATTAAAGGGTACTGAGCGTTTTAGTAATGCTCTTATACATAGTTGGGACACCCTGAAAGATACATTTAAAATAATAATGGTTCAAACTGATGCAGCACAATACAAGTTTAACTGCTCAAACCTCAAAAAACTGCATCGCACATTTCTCAAAATGCAAGTAAATACCACCTTTTGTTATACTATCCCATGACTGTCAAACTCCGTGCCCAACTAAGTTTTAACAATGTCAGAAGTATTCAGGATAATGCAAGTAAACAAATCAATAATATATAGAACATTTTATAGCAGAAATGTTACATAATTATATTTTGAAAAATCAAGATCTTATGACAGTGAGCAACAATGCATGATATATCTGACAAAGTTATGCTGCCTAAGGAGACTTGAAGTGCATGTTGTTTCAGTAGGTATTCTGCATGGGCACTTCCTTGTCTCTCTATTCATTTTTCTTTACTATCTTTTTATCACCACATGGGAACTACAGCAGATATATAGCATGGACTCTTGGACACACACTGCATGTCCTAATAAGAATAGCAATTACATTTTAAATTTAGGGGGTTTAATTATTTTTGTCACATCACAAAGTGTCCACATGGGATTTACTTAACCCACTCAGAAGCAGTGGACTTTTACCTTTATGAGCTCAGCGAACACTTCCTGGTACCCAGACAGTGCTTGGTTTTATCTCACGGACGGTGGTGCTCAGGCTGATTCACTCCTCACGCTTGGTCAACACGGACTGCAGAAAAACTAGAAGACATTTATTTCTGCAACTCTCCAGCATTTTGTTCGGACTTTTCTATTGTATTATTTTCCAACATCACCACACATTAACAAGGTAAGCAGGGTGTGAGAAAAAGTAGTTTATCAAGATTTTATTTAATTATCTGGACAGCATAGTATAATCTATGATAAACTACTTTAACTCATACACTATTTGTAGTCCTGCTAGATGAGATTTTTTCTTTCCAATTTCCATTATTGATGTATCACACTGCAGTTTTCTCTTCATTGTAATTCAGATTTTCCTATTCTGCCGTCCTTCAGTGGCTGTAGAGCCATAGACTTTCCATGTGGTGGAAACCAAACCTAATGTTTGAATTAATGATGACCCGATGATGATGGGACCAGGGGATTAAATAACACATTCTTACCCCCCCCTGACAATGTAGCTGTCACTCTGTGCACAGAAAGGCACTTGGTGTTATGCTACTTGTTTACTCTGAAGCTGGCATAGGAAGCTTCAATACAACACTCAATGAAGGACTATTCTCTTATCTTCCTCATGATAACTTTGCACACTATCATAGTCATCTTAAGATCAAGTTTTTAAAGTGCACTCGGGACGGGACTGAACAAACATCAACATATCAATAGAGCGACTGCTTCAGGGTGAGCTAAAGTATCGCTGTTGTCTTCACAGAAGAGCGAAAGGATCAATTTGAAGGATCTCATGACAAGTTACAGTAATGGAGGATTCTTCAACCCTGCCTACCATGACAGCGAGACTCTGGAAATTGATAGAAGGTTTGTTGCAATATGATAAAATGTGTCTTCAAATGTGCATCAGTGAACTATTTATTCTGAAAAATGTGTTTCACTCTTTTACATACCAAGCGTGTATTTGAGTGGGTGCTGTTTGTACTCAAAGGGCATGTCATGTATTATAAAAGAATGAACAGGATGTCTTCAAGGATCAAGCAGCATATGTATATGTATATGATCATAACACTCTTCTTTTAAACATTACGGTAAACTTTAAGAGACAAATACATTAGTGTGTTGGTCTCTACTCAGAAACCTTATCCTGCACTTCCTTGTAGGATATTATATCACCTCCTTAAAAAACGCTCAATATTAAGCATATCTATGACACTGATTATAATCATCACTTGAAATTCCAGTTCCTTCCTTGAACTGATAACCTCAGTGCTCTTAAGTGTTATAAACACAAACAGTGTGACGTCAATGTTTTTTCTTTATCGTCACACATTTGTGATATCTAGGTCTTCCAGCAAAACCCCCCTCCACACTAACCCCTACGCCCGGGGTGAGGGTGCAGATGGAAATTACTCCACTGGTCAGATCAGCAGTGATGATGCTTTAAGGAGGGTGCCGCGGGGGGGTTGGCAGGAGGAGAGCTGGAGGGGGAGGGAAAGCCTCCCCATGGGCCACATCTCAACACGCCCTAGGAGTCCTTCATGGCAGCATGACATCAGTAAGTGGCCAAGCTACATCTTTTGGACTATGGAACAATAGTAAAGCTGGGATAGGCAGTATGTTTTTTTTGGGTCGTTTGACAAAAATTAAATTATAACTTGCAGCATATTGTAATTTCAGTGGTCTGAAAGGAAACATAGATTTGCCTTGTTTTCAGGCCTTCACTAGTTTCTTGTCTCTGGTGATGAGAAAGGGTGTTTCTTTTGGCTGTTCTAGAAATGCAGTTGCATGTGTGTGGCCCTTTAGATATTGATAGCATGATCCAACGGCACAAACTCTTTTAGCAACCTAAAAATGGACAGACTTATCCAAAAGAAAGTCTGACAATTTTCTCTTGCACTTTGAGATAGAGAGACATTTTGTTAAATGTTTAGCCTATTGCTAACCGTAGCAAAAGACTCAGCTGCGGCTAGCACCCAGCAGCTTGTGGCTGCATTTCACATCTAGCTCACATTAGCTTACAGCTGCAATTAGCAGAAGGCTTAACAATTAGCAACATTTTCAGTCCAACATGAAAGAAGCTAGCTAAAACCTCTAAAAACAGATTATCATTTGAAAAGGCTCTGAAGGCCCACACCTTTCAAACAAAACAGAAAGGTAGTTCTTATTTAATTGCTGCTTTATAACCCTATTCAAAATCATCTGAATGACGTACAGTTTACTGTATATGTCTGTTCTTGTTAATGGTAGGAATGGATGCAGAATACTGCAATATCAATAGAATTACAATACGCTGAGAGCTTTCTTTGGAAATGTTGCCTCTTGACGTCAAGAAAAGTCTGCCTATCCCAGCATCAATGTATGACGTAAACACATTCTTTTTTGTGCATGACAACTAAGGCTATGTAATTTGTCGTTTTGTTTCTATGTGCCGCTTTGTGTTGCTCAGTGACAATTGTGTTGAAACTTCTACTGCACCTGCTCTCTTTTATTCAGATCACAGTACCTTCCAAATCCCACCTGACTCTCAGTATGATCGATCACTTTCCATCCGCCTTCCTTCCACAACATCAGGTAATGTTTAAACTAAATGTACTCCTTAGATAATAGTTTCTTTTCACAGTTTTGTTGCGCTCTGTTGCCATGGTTTTGCTAAACACACAGTAAAACCTTTTAATAAATGTGACATTCATGTTGACCTGTTGACTTTGATTATCAATCAAGTTAGCTAAGTAGGCTACTGGATAATTATTAATGAAAGGTCTGCAAAACAGAACAGTGACAAGGAAGTTGGCAAAGAAAATGAAACTGAGGGAAAGGGGTTGTGGGGAAAATATCGTCTTAATCTGAAGGACACAATATAAAGGTTTTGGAAATGTCTGTTTAGAAAGTGGATATTTGGGTATGTGTGACCGCTCCATGTTAATCACGCTGTACTGTAACTAAATCCCTTTAGAATGACTCTTCAGCTTAAGGCAGCCTAATTCTGCCATTGTGATAAAAACAAAAGATCCTGCGACTCATTCGAACGAAACCTTCTCACAATTTAATGTCATAATATCTTGAAATAACGAGAAACTTATTTTGATTAGCATGTTAGCATTGGAACTGAGAGCATTCTAGCAAGCTAACGTTTAGCTCAACGCATAAAGTGTGACTCACAGAGTGAAATTATACTATAATTTAAATGTAAAAGACTTAACGTTACCATATTACCTGTGAATAACACTAGTCTCTTGAAATACACAGTTGGCACAGTAGTCAGTCTGCGGTGCTAACAGTATGATAGGTTTAATCAGGAGTAAAGATAAAGTCAGTAGTATAGCACCAGAAAAGCTCACATTGCTATCAGTTGTACTTTGGCGGTGCACTAACTGAAGGTAATACGTTCAACGTGTGTGCTGTAATTAATCAGGAAAAAAATAAAGAGACAAAGTAAATCTCAGTCAAGCTGCGGTGGGAGAGTAAATGTTTGCATGTGTGAGCAGCTGCAGGTTTTACATTTAAAAATGCAGACCCTGATAACTGTCATGCTGCTCCTGTTTTTCCCATCTGTCCCGGGAGTTTGCCTGTAGATCTCAAGTTTATTTTGGCAGTCACAGCCGAACAACAGAACTCAATGGGCATCATTCACTAATAAGTATGTTCTTAATTAAGTCCGTATGTCAGATTTATGACATGTTCCTTAACCAAAAATGTGTGTTCTTATTATGATGGATCGCATCGGCCTCTTACAGTGAAGCGTTTGCAATGTAATGTTTATTTATTTGAAAGTTCCATAATGATTTGTTAAATAATGAAAATAATTATCAAAAAATATAATAAATGCTAAAGAAATATGGTAATTTTAACCATTTATTATACAACTGAATATTTCAAAAAAACACAAAAAACACAAACAAATATTATTTAGCAAACACATGTTGGCAAAACAGACAAATAAATCGCAATAAGGAATTTTCTTTTAGAATGATTGGTTGATGAGGCACATTATTGTCTTCATGTTTGTTCCTCCAGGTAACATGACGATGAGAAGGAGGGGAATATCAATGAGACGGATGAGCATGTTTCCTAACGGTGATCCTAACCACGTAGCCTTCACAGAGGACGCCATAAGGAACGAGATGGAGAATGGTAAGAGCTTTTGAATGTGAAGAGTGACATCTAATCTACATTCATACAACTTTTACATAGAACTTTTTTGTCATCCTGTGTGTGACAGAGGAACAGAACCTGGTAAAAGAGCTTGTTGCCCTATCAACACGAGACAGAATTTGGGCGATTCGGGACCTTCCAATGAGCTTTGATGAGAAGAAACAAATAAGGTGGGTTTTTCACTGAGAAGAAGATGTTAATTAGCTTCCTTGTTAGAGTATTTCTAGGCACAAAGCACAACCTTTACACCCTGCTGGGAACCATAAATATGGAACGCAAAGCCAAGGTACAGTGTTGCAATATTGATCACTAGAGCAAAAGTGACAGAATTACACACTGCTCTTGTTTCAGGGCACATTACACAATAAACTATTAAAATGACAGAAAGTCCAAAGGTTTTTTCGGCACACTACAACATTATATCATTCTGGCAGATCTTCTAGCTCATCAGGAAATATAGATTTTCAAGGCACTAATGTCATTATTATTGTAACAAATTAACTAGATTTATGATACTTCGTAATCTGCTTGTCAATAATAAATAAAATGTATGATAAATAATGAGTAAACATTTAAAGGTGGGGTAGGTAAGTTTGAGAAACCGGCTCGAGATACACTTTTTGTTATATTCCATGGAATGCTCTTAACATCCCGATAGCAATGAATATCTGAAGTGCTTTGACAAAAAATCCATAAAAAAAATTCATCTGTGGAAGCCGTAATACTGTAAAAAGCACGACCAATCATTTTAGCCGGCCCGGCTAAAATAACTGGATGGCCTACCTGCCTGTCAGCCTTCCATCTGTGCACAAACTTATCTCGTGCCCTCATTGGTCATGTGCGCGTTCGTGTGTGTTGGAGGAGGGGCTCTGTAAGGAAGTGGCAGATTTGTTCCGGCTGTGTATTTTCAAATCCTAGCGCACTCGAGCTGGTTTCTCCAAAATTACCTACCCCACCTTTAAAGTATGATAATACCTTTCAGGGCAAGATTATGGATTGATTATGTTGAAAAGAACAGAAATAATGTAAGAAGAAAAATATCCCCAAAAACGTATAAAATGTTCATGCTACAGAAGAGAACTATGATATAACGATCAGATTATTACAAATAAAACATCACACTAAATGTACAGACTTTAAAATGTTGTTATCTAGCTGATGATTAACTTGCACTGCTAATGTACAAAGCCCTAAATCATGTTTCCTTTTTATTACTTTAAGAAATGTTTTAATAAAGTTTTATAAAGTAGGTAAAATAAATGACTCCTACTTCTAACTATATTCTACATTTCTTCAACAGGAGCCAAGTGCTGGCATTCAAGTCTGCCAAGAAATCTCGCCAGTTCACATGTTTTGCAGACTGCTCTGAGAACATGTCACTGGTAAGTAAACAACATGCTGCAACGCCTTACTTAAACAACTAAACCATCTGATTCATCACCTATGTGTGTATGCTACACAGTCTTTCCGCAGGTGCGGATATGGTATAAGATCGGCCAGGCAGACCCTGGAGCTGTGGCAGGGCATCATGAAAGAGATCGGTGGCACGTTTGGCACCAGCGTGCTCTCCTACTTCGTGTTCCTCAAGTGGCTGCTCATGTTCAACATTTTCTCCTTCCTGGTGAACTTTGGCTTTATTACCATCCCGCAGCTTGTTTACAGCCCCTGGCCCAACATATCTCCGAATGTGAGCTTCAGAGGACTGGAGATACTGACTGGAGCAGTAAGTAGAGGCTCCCACCACAACACATACCTGTAAAGCCACAACTATCCAAATGGTCCCTAAAAAGTTTCAGTATTTTTTTACTAAATCAAAAAAATGTATGTTCACATGAAATTACTATGTGTAACGTTACATATGACCCCACAATGATATATAACCCCACAGCTTAATCAAACCCCATAGTGTTATTTAGCTTATTGTTTCAGTTTCCCGCAACTTCAATGTTTTGGTTCACTCCCACCATTGTTGTTTGCAGATCCAGCAGCAACTTATTATTTCTTGTATTATTAAACATTTTCTAAAATGTACGTTCATATATGCAAACAACGAAGTATCTTATTTATTATGTGCTAGTTTGCATGAATTCCTGGAACAGATATCTGGAAGATGAGAGACAGGTTCAAAAGTGTGGTTTCCTTATGTTGACATATTAGAGTTAAAGGTTTTTACAGAGGTTACTTTGGATGTCTCTTTGTCTTAATCCATAAATCAGAAAATAGTGTCAATGGTTATAAAAAATAAATAAAAGGAAAATGTGCCATGTTTTTAGGAATAAAATGTTACACAAAACCGATATCTTTATATTTAAAGATAAATATATATATATATATTGTAAAATGACACCTATTAGACACTACAGGTTAATAGGATATTAAGAATAACTAATCCAGGTTCCAATTAACTTCCCTAGTTGATTACATTTGGACAATTATCTTTGTATACAAATATTCTTTAAATGCAAAATGTTGGTAAATTTAAGAGAAATTCCCAGACAAGTAGGTAAATACACATCGTAAAATGACCAGTGTAGGAAAAAACTATGTTTTTGACTACATTGTCTGGCCTTATGTGAAGATGCTCAATACGTATTTTTCCCAATGCAATATAAATGTGTTTTGGTTTCTCCAGGGTTACTTCAACAACACCGTCATGTACTACGGGGGCTACAGCAATGAAACCAAGGTGCATCTAGCGGAGTACAACATGCAGTTGGCTTATTTCTTCACCATTGCAGTCTACATGGTTCTGTGTGGAATTGCACTTATCTTCAGGTCAGTCCAATTGTCCATATAACTATATAATGTAGAGAACATTTTACATTTCCTTAAATTACATTCAATTACATGAAGTAGTTTCAACTCTATAAAATGTACGTTACCTATTTTCGTCACGCAGCATGGCCAGCTCATTCAAGACAAACTATGTGCTAGCAGACCCTGCTTCAAACAGTGCATGGCAGCTTCTGTGCAGCTGGGACTTTAATATTACCAACGAGAAGGCAGTGAGACAGCGCAAAAACAATCTACGAGTGCAACTCAAGGTGACTATTACTGTGTTAAAATATATCAAATAGGAGCAGCTCTCAATGCCATGTTGAATATATTAACTCATTTATTGCCAATCTAAGCTTTTAAAGAGTTTTTCACAATAAACGTTCATCAAACTTCAGACCCTTAGTTATCTCAAAGGTTAATTCCTGTTTTAAAACACAACATGCACCTCATAATTTTTTCATTAATCGTCTTGCCCTCTCTTCAGGAGTCCATGTCAGAGAAGGCCCAGAGGGAGGGCCTAACCCTCTCTGAAAGTCTGAAGCACTTTGGGGTTTATCTGGGTGCCTGGCTGCTCTCCACTAGCCTGGCTGTCGGCTCTGGAGCTAGCATCTATTATGTCTGCCAATTCGAACAGCAGGTACACAAAACTAAACTGAAACTAAGTGTTATTGTTAAATTGGAATAATTGTTCTTTGTTTGATTTAGACTACATAGAGGTTTCTTCGTCTGTACAAGTCTCATTGTTCCATTAAACCAGTATTAACAGAAACATATCCTTACTGATCCCTTTGTCTGCATGCTCTGAGAAACTGCGTGTCATCGTACTTTATGGCATGGTAATAAAGCAATTGTTCTTTAAATTCAGTATCAGCATGCGTCATAAGATTGCAACTTACTGACAGTTATATGTCGAGTCATTTACTGGCAGTGCAGGGTTTGATTCATTTCTTTGCACACAGTGTTGTCCATCTAGCACTATGTTGAGCTGACCTCCATCTGTTATCTTTATAGCGGGCAACAGATTCTGCCAACTGGTCTCTGCTGCAGGAGGCAGAGACTCTGCTGGTTCCCTTTGTGGTGTCTCTGATGAACCTGGTCGTCCCGCTCTTCTACTCCCTCTTCAACAAGTTTGAGCACTACTCCAGCCAGCGCAAACAGATCTACGCACTGGTAGTCAGGTCAGACAGCAGAGACAAATGAATTTAAAGTGCATAAAATTAAGAATTTTAAGTAGAAGTAGAAAGAATTGTTGCACATTAGCATAATTCCCCAAATGTTCAAGCATCAATCTTGAATAAAATATTTGTTTCTCTTTTCCCACTTACAGAAATGTGTTACTCAAGATGTCCATTCTGGCTGTCTTGTGTTATAACTGGATGAATGTGGTGGCTGTAAAGTTTTCGGTATGTTTGACAGGGTTTAACCCAAAAATGTGTTATATCAGTTTCCATCGCTAAAGACAGTCATTCATGAACCTAATGTTTTTCCACAGTGTTGGGAGTCCATGGTAGGACAGGCTTTGTACCGACTGGTCATTGTTGATTTTCTTTTTCTAATGTTGGGATCCTTCTTTGGAGAGTTTCTTAGCAAGTGAGTGGCTTTCTGTTTGTTTGTGTTCTTCACAATCAAATAAATGGGGTTGGTTAACCTCACATGTAAATCATATGTCTAATTTCTCCTCAACAGTGTGATTGGGACCAGATTACTTCCACGTCTGGGAGTTCCAGAGTTTGATGTAGCCAGAAATGTCCTTGAACTGATCTACGCACAGACTCTGGCCTGGTAAGAGCAATACATTCAACACTTACTAACTACCAGAGTCGGGACCAAGTCATAGTTTTGCATTTCAAGTCAAGTCTTCACACTGAAGTCCTGAGTCCTAAACTTCGATATTGAAGTCTAATTTTTGATTCACAAAGTCATATCTCTGCTTACCACAGGACCTAACAACTCAATGAATTTAAAATCAAGATTTGTGTTTCTCTCCTGGTGTCAATGCTCATTTACTATACATAGTTAGCTAACTGTGAATTTCCCCCCATAGGATTGGTATTTACTTTTCTCCTCTGCTGCCTGCCATCCAGATCCTCAAATTTTTCATTTTGTTTTACTTAAAGAAGGTAAATGACACTTAATTAATAGCCTTGGTGATTGTGAACTGAACTGCTATAATGACAAACAGCCACAGGGAGATCCAAGGCCATCGCTGACCTAGTTGCTCTTTTTAATGTTTTGCGCTCACGTTACGCTATTTGTGCAGCTGGTTCAATATTTGATTCAAATCCTTTCATCACACTGACAGCATGCTTTATTTTGTGTTTTGGAAAGGACTTAGGTATTGGGATATGTGAAGTCAACAAGTTGGTTATAATGTTCCAGGCAAGATCAATCAATGTCAGAGTAATTTAATTCAGAGCGATTGGTCATTTGACTCAGGATGGATCTGGTGTTCTTGAATGTTTCATGAACATGCTGAATGACCTTTGAAGCAATGCTATTCAAAGCTCTGATGAGTTCTTCATGTTTTCTATTATGGAGTGAAACAGATATGATGTGTAGGCTAGTTTCATAAACTTTAAAAACATCATTATGGTAGTGCAATAATAATGAGGGAAAAAGTGTTTTTGTGTGTCATGTATTTGTTCATGTGTATGAGTGTTTTGTTACCACTTCCCCAGGTCAGCCTGACCCAGAACTGCCAGCCTCCGAGGCGGTCAGGCAGAGCCGCTCAGATGCAAACCATCTTCATCGCCCTGCTCTTCTTCCCTTTCTTCGTGGGAGCCGTCTCTATGGTTGCGTTCACCGCCTGGAGGTACGAGGACATGACCTACTACAGCCTGGAGTCAAAGAATATCATTGTACAACAACGAAATGATAACAAAACTATAACATAGCCTTGGTACACAAACCCCCCTAAAAGTATTGATTGGTTTTGTCTACCTTGTCTTGCTCTGTAGTCTGACCCCCTCAGAGCATTGTGGTCCTTTCCGGGGACTCAACAGCACCTTCAATGTGGTCGAAGTTTGGATGGTTCATCTGGAGGAGACCTCTAGTTCTGAATGGGTGGTTTGGATCTACCAAAATGTCATCAGGAGTGAAATCTTCTACTTTCTTATCTCACTCATCATCATGTAAGTTTATTGTGCAGGTGCCATGTTGCGTATGTGGTGTGTGTTACATTAATTGAGATGATGCATAAAATATAAATTAAAAAACAAGAGGAAAAAAAAAATCATGTCCTTAAAGGGGTCCTATTATGCCAGGTTCATATTTGTTTTTTGTGCTTCTACTGTGACATGTCTCCATGCTTTAATGTTAAAAAACATCTTTATTTTTCTCATACTGCCTTTACTGCAGCACCTCTTTTCACCCTCTGTCTGAAACCAGAGCCTGCTCTGTCTCTGATTGGTTAGCTGGCCGGCTCTGTTGTGATTGGTCCACCACTTAGAGATGTCACTCCCCTTAGCCTATCATATACAATGTGTTGGAGCGCTATCCAACAGAAGCACAGTGTTACATAGTGATGTCATTATGATACTGAAGTAAACAAAGTCCAATTACATTCACAAAAACCTAGTTAACAGTCTCTACAGGAAAAAAAGCATAATAGGGCCTCCTTAATGAGTGAATAATCTTACCTCAAGGTCCATATAGTAGCTAACTTCGCTGTTTAGTAGTTATAATTATTACCATGTTCACTCGCTCTAATATCAAATGTGGCTGTAATGTTATATGTATCAATAGGACGTGAACCAAATCCTTGTGCTTAATGTTTTGTTAATAGTAATCTTAATACACTTTCTTTGTAGAGTATTTGAAAAATCTTAGCAGGTAACTTATGGACATGAAGTGCAAACATTCGTGGTTTGATTACGTACTATTGTGATAAGCAGGGTGCTAAATTTAGCAACTGCATCATACCAGTCACCATTCTGCGGTTGATTTATTTGACTATTTAAACATAGACTGTTACAGACTGGAACAGTGTTTGCATAATGTCATGTCATATTATCATGCTTTCAGAGTCATCATATACATCTTCTGGCAAGTCACTCGGGGCCGCAAGCTCCTTATTCGTGTACTGAGACAACAGATTGTTAATGTGAGTGTTCACTTTTTGATATTTTTCCTTCTTTTTGGTACCGATTCCTTAATTTATTGCTTGGCTGTACTTAATTCATCCCTTAACTCTTTATTTTTCTCACATCAGGAAGGGAAAGACAAGTCCTTCTTGTTAGAGAGACTCCAAAATCTCCAAAAATCTCACCCTGATAAAAGATCAAAACAGAAGAATCCGAAAAAGGTGTGTTGTAAGGATTCTTTGATGTCAAATTCTCACCTTTCAGCCTGAGATTTGCTATTAATTTCTCTGCATATTTTTTCACATATTTCAGCACTCCAAACGGAGGCCAGATGACCACTCCTCAGGCGGTCAGTCCACCTCAAACGCCATGGTTCAGGCGTTACTCGCTCGCCAGCAGCTCGAGAAGGAGGAAGAGGAAAGACTCAGCACTGGCGGAGTTCCAGTTCCCTCCGACATCTCCTCCTCCTCCAGTGCTCTTATTCAGGCCATGCAGGCCCGGCAGAGGGCCGAGGGTCAAGAAAGGGACGAACACTACAGCGCAGTTTATTACGAAAGCCCCACAAACACATCCAGCGCTGTCACACAGGCGATGCAAGCCAGACAAAGAGCGCAAGTGGAAGGAACTGATGATGCAAGTGATCCAACTTCTTCTGTGTCAAGTGTTATGATGCAAGTCATGCAAGCCAGGCAGAGGGCAGAGGAAGAGGATAGGCCTCAGTGGGTCCCGGCACCCCCACAAAACCCAGCACCCGCAGGCTCCAGCGCGCTCATTCAGGCCATGTTGGCCCGGCAGCAGGCCCAGAACGAGTATGATGATGGCTACTAAAAAAAGGGCCTTTATTTTACCATGGATAAGTGGGACAGAATTGAAGAGATGACTGAAAACACACTTTTGATTTGTGCTATCACCCATAGATGAATAGCCTTGGTTGTATATCTATAAATTAGGTGATTTCTCTAGAAATGCAATACATTTTAATAGGACAAGTATAGGTACTGTAGCAGGGCTAGAAGATATCGTAGGCCCACCTCTCTATGCACTTTTTTTGTACAAATATATCTTAATAGTATGTTTCTATGACAGTATATACGCCTTGTAATATAAATAAACACTATAACATGTATAGGCCTCATATTGTGCCATTTTGTGATAAGATTTATATATCATACACTCCAGTTGTCAATACTGTACTATATGGATTGAGACCAGATACAAATTTGAAAGATTCTAAAATAAATGTCACCACCATACAGTATACAGTTAAATGTAGTTTTTTATTTAAAACAACACTGCCCTCTGTAGGGATTCTGCATACATTGCCACAGATTACACATTACTCTTAATAATTGAAATTGTGTTTTTGGCCAGTAGATCAACATTTATTTTACCATTAAAATATTTGGTGAAATATAAAAACTTTTACTATTAACTTTTATTAAACTATATTTATATAATATAATATCAATGACTAAAACCTGTATTTTGAGTGGAGGGGGGCTTTATTATCCAGCATATTTGGCGAAAAAGCTCTATAAAATAAACATTTCCAAAGCATTAAGTAATCATGTTACTCGGGTCAATACAGAAACATCAAATAAAACTAGAGAATGCAATTCCTGAAGAAATTGCTAGTGGGGAATGCTTTATGCTGAAAATCTGACGCTAAACTGCTATGCTGAAATGTAATGTGTAAGAAGAAAGTGAAGAATTTAGATTGAAATGATACATGAACACTGGGGGCTTGAATGTGTGATGAGAGAAGAAAAGAACGTAAAAAGGCTTGGAAAAGCAGCAGAATATTTGAACTGCAAACTTTTGAACTAACTTGATGGTGAATGATCTGTCGCCATGCCAACGGCATTTGATGACATCCCATAATACGCTTAGATGTGTGGATGGCTGCATCGTTACCAAACCTGTGAAGTTTTGGGCTGTTTGGAGCATTTTCACTGAAGTTATGAGAAAACCGTGTTTCATGGCGAGGCTTGTGTTACCATGGCAACGGCATTTGAAGAAACCCCATAATTGACGTAGAGCTGTTGAGGGCTGTACCGGTGATATACAAGCGAAGTTTGGAGGACGATCGGACCGTGTCCATTGGACTTACAGCGACATCGTGCTTCATGGCGAGTGGTCTGTCGCCATGGCAACGGCATTTGATGACACCCCATAATACGGTTAGATGTGTTGATGGCTGCATCGTTACCAAACCTTTGAAGTTTTGGGCCATTTGGAGCATTTTCACTGAAGCTATGAGAAAACCGTGTTTCATGGCGAGCATTGTGTTGCCATGGCAACGGCATTTGAAGAAACCCCATAATTGACGTAGAGCTGTTGAGGGCTGGACCGGTGATATACAAGTGAAGATTGGGGGACGATTGGACCGTGTCCATTGGACTTACAGCAACATCGTGTTTCATGGCGAGTGGTCTGTCGCCATGGCAACGGCATTTGATGACACCCCATACTACGCTTAGATGCGTTGATGGCTGCATCGTTACCAAACCTGTGAAGTTTTGGGCCGTTTGGAACATTGTGTGTGAGAGAGAGAGAGAGAGAGAGAGAGAGAGAGAGAGAGAGAGAGAGAGAGAGAGAGAGAGAGAGAGAGAGAGAGAGAGTGTGTGTGTCTGTGTGTGTGTGGCAGAGAGAGAGAGAGAGAGAGAGAGAGAGAGAGAGAGAGAGAGAGAGAGAGAGAGAGAGAGACTCTGTAGCCTCATCCCAATACCCCTCCTCGACTCCTCTCTTCCCCTCCTCCGGGACTTGACCCGGAAATCGATCAAGACACGCCATGTTGAAGGACGTCCCAATAGAGTGGCGAAGTCCCTCCCACTTACTTCCGGGGTATGGGACCTTATTTCGGAAAAATTATGCATTGAAGTCAATGGGGAGAGAAAACTTATCTTTCGATCCCGTTTGAATTGTGCCATGAATTACACATATGATGTTTGTCAATCTTAAAAAATCATTTCCATGTCAAAAAAGTCACAGTTTGTCGTAAAACTGTTGAAATATAAGACTATGAAAAATACGTAACTAGAAAGACTACAAATCCCAGAGTCGCGTAAGTGATGTCACAATTGTTTACCTCCACCATTCAGATACCTAAGATCAGCGCAATATAGATATAATCTATCTATATGGCGCTGGCTAAGATAAGATAACTTTAACAAGATGCCTGTGTGCTTAGTACCAGGTTGTTATCATACCAGCAATGGGTCTTGCTCGTTCTTTTGCTTCCCGTCTGATGAAACGACCAGGAGTGGCTTGATCAAGTTAGCTACCTAGCTAGTAGCTAGCACGTTAGTTAGCATTACAGCCTTGTCATTTTTATTAGCCTTAACATGAAGTAACATTAAGTAACCCAAAATGTTAAACAGTAAGAGTAGTAGTCATATTTCGTGAACCCTTTGAATAGTACTGTCACCGGTGTGATCATTCTATAATACACCATTTAATTCCGGGGGAGAAATGCTAACGCTAACGTTAGCATCGGCGATCTTTTCTACTTCATGCTATCTGCACAAATGGTTGACATTAAACATTAAAACGACCAGGCAGTTCAGAGAGAATCAAAGGAAGGCAGGCAGGCAGCTTTGCATGACATTCTTCAGGACGTGTTTCATTGTGGTGATAGTCAATCGTTTGTTGACAAGACAGTAGTGACGGCCATCTTGGTGACGTGTGTTGTTGACCAGAGATGTAGTTCATTTAGCGTTTCACACAAACAAATGTGTTACTTCACAGTTTTACGACACATTTTTTTTTTTTTTACTTGCAAAATTATCTTTTAAATTGACAAACATCATATGTGTAATTCGTGGCACAATTCAAACGGGATCGAAAGATAATCTTTCTCTCTCCATTGACTTCAATGCATAACTTTTCCGAAATAAGGTCCCATGGGGCTCAACCGGAAGGGGAGGGACTTCGCCACTCTATAGCTGAAATGCACACGGAGGAGTCGAGGAGGGGTGAGGGAGGAGGGGTGCGGGAGGAGACGAAAGGGAGGATACACGAGAGCAGACTACGCGGAAGTGTTTTCACTACTCGCGTATAAAAGCCCCGCCCCCACCTTCACAGCTGGTCGATTTCAAGAGAGGAAAACGGAGAACTGGAAGAATGAGTGGAAAAGCGTCACATAAATGTACAAGTGCTCACAGCTCCGTGGGAATTATTATGTGCAATTCATTTCTTAAGGTTATACTAACAATTTAAGTAATGTTTAATGATCTTGAACGTCACTAAAACATAGCTATTAAGAAAGCTATTTCATAAATGGCTAGATCTTGATAAATAACAATTATTTGTTTTGTTTTGTGTTAAAATATTGAGTAGTTAAATTATTTTAAATGCACAGTCCTGAATGTGGGTTTGTGGTGAATGTGGGGATCTACAGGACACACATGTTCAGAGTAAAGGCTTTCACATTATTATAATTATAATTTTATTGAAATGTACATTTTACACCAAAACGGAACACAAAAGCAGGACCAACCATCATACATTGAATTCCTTGACTAACAAGAGAAAGATTCATCATTTAAATACATATTTAACAACAAATGGGCCGGTTATTCAGTTAAGCCCGATGAGAGGGGATACAGCTGTGCACATGTCATCATTAACAGACGTCGTTTAAGAGTGACGTTTGAGTGAACGAGGACATCCCAATTAATACCTGAGGACTCCTCTGTCCTCGCGTCACCTCCTCGTGTCTCTCGCTCGTATCTTACGGAGGCGGAGCTAAGACGCAAGGAAGGGACGCGAGTGAGGGGAAGGAGGAGTCGAGGAGGGGTATTGAGATGAGGCTCGTGTGTGGCAGAGAGAGAGAGAGAGAGAGAGAGAGAGAGAGAGAGAGAGAGAGAGAGAGAGAGAGAGAGAGAGTGTGTGTGTGTGAGTATGAAATGAACAGTTAGAACTGACTGCTGTCAGTTGGAGTGATGACATCATCGTGGTCCATTACACAGGTGTTTATAGTTGAGCTAACGAGCTCTGAAGAGATCAAAGGTTTGCATTGTTCTGAATGAGAGATAAACCTCTTACATGTGAACGTTTTGTGGAAGAATGATAACAGATATCTGTGAAATTTCAAAACGTGAAGCATGTCAAGGAAGTTGAGTATCTGAAGTGTAATTTTTGTGTACTTTCGGGTTAATGTGGCCTTTATGGCAGTTTAACTAAAGGTGTGCGGCTGCTGCTGTGAGGAAATATCAGCCTGAAATTACAATGGGTTTTAATGGAGACATGTTGAACGTTTTCGCCACTTCATGCCCTCAAGAGGCATTTTGTTTAATTATTTTTGCTTAATTATTTGTCATTTTTCAAGCTATGAGATGTTTTCCTACGTTTGTCATGAAAAATTATGTCTCAGGAATGTAAGGTTTGGGAATTATGGCAGTTTTAAAAAAATATATGAAGGCAAATTTCAAGATTTGCTCCACTCTAGCTGTGACATCACGCACTCTAGTTAACGTTAAAATCTGAAGAAAACCTCTTTAACAAGGTCTGAACAATGTTTAATATCTCTAAAAGTAAGAATCAGATTTAAAAGTTGTGTTACACGAATGTCAGAAAGATGTGTAACATTTTAAAGTTGGAATGAGGTTTCTGAGTGAAAGTATGAATGAACAGTTGAAGTCGCATGAAGATTTGTTGAAGTCTGAAGAATATCTCCATTGACTTCAATGGTTAAAAATGTAATGAATTATGGGATGTATCTCTGGAATTATGAAAGTTATGAATGAGAAAAGTAATAGCCTGCGATTCCCGACCGAGCTGAACGTTTTGATGTTTGAACTGAGTTTCTGCGATGTTGAATGTGGGAGGAGAAGAGGGCCAAAATAAGTCGGCGGAATAATAATAAACTTTTTGTCCGTAGCATAACATATAGTTGGAATGCTGTATCAGCATTCCCACTAAATAATGAGGAAAACATTACCTTTGCTCTCAAGCAGTGATAGTAATGCTCCCCCGAATATCAGAAACACAGGACAGATATAAGTTTCCTAAATGACACACGAACATGTTCCCTAATCATGTTTAACGCACACACATTGTCAGGTCTCCTAAACTTGGACGCACCAACATCAGAGCAACATGT